GTTTGGGATCTACTTTTGCAAATTCACCCTTTATTTCTTTCAATAGTTAGCTGTACCGATGTCTCATCTCTTTCTGGACTCTAAAGACATGCATGTTATTCCTTTGATATTGTCCCACAGATACATGAGGCTCTGATAACGTTTTTCAGATGTTTTTCTCTATTATTCAAGTAGGCAATATATATTGATTTTGATATTGATCTTAAAGTTTAATGACTCTTTTCTCTGTCATCTCCATTCTGTAATTGTGAATTTTTTTTATTGCAATTATTGCAGTTTTCAGTTCTTACATATCAATTTGTTTGCCCCACTCTAAAACATGCTTTATTTTTACTTAGAAATACATTGTGAATATATTCCCAGATAAGTATCAATTTACTTTATTCTCCTTTTTAAAAATGTGATAAAATACACAAAATTTACCATTGTAATCATTTTTAAGGGTACAGTCAGTAATGTTAAATACCTTCATATTGGGTACAACCAATCTTCAGAACTCTTTTCATCTTAAAAACTATACCCATTGAACAATTCCCCATTCCACAATACCTCCACGGTTCTTTCTTATAGCTTATATGTTTTTTGCAGATAAATTCTACCTTTCCATTCATTTCACTCTTTTTATTATTTGTTTGTTTGCTTGTTTGTTTGTTTTAGAGAAAGGGAGAGAGAAGTATAAGAGCACTGGCTGCCTCCTGCACACTCCCTACCAGGAGTTGAGCCTGAAATCCAGACATATGCCCTAAATGGAAATCGAACCAGCAACCTTTTGGTGCAGGGCAATGCCCAACCAAATTAGCCATACTGGCCAGGGGAACAATTTTCCCTCTTAAATCATTGTCAGGCCCTAGTCAGTTTGGCTCTGTAGATAGAGCCTCCGCCCACAGTCTGAAAAGTCCAGGATTCAATTTTTGTCAAGGGCATGTACCTCAGTTGGAGAGCATGTGGAAGGCAACCAATTGATGTCTCTCTCACATTGATGTTTCTCTCTCTCCCCCTCTTCTTTCCACTCTCTCTAGAAATCAAAGGAAATGTATCCTCAGGTGAGGATTAATAAAGTCATTGTCAGATAAATGTAACATTTGAGCCATCTTGAGGTTGATTTTTCTTGCAAGTTGTTGAGATTTTCCTGATTCTTTGTATATTGAGCATTTTTTTTTATTATTCCTAAATGTTTTACATATTACAATTTACTGGGTTTGGTTTGGTCAGTGTTTATTCTGTAGTTTTAGCTGCTAATCAACCTGATTGGTACAGGCCATACATTCTGACCTGCCATCACTTGGCTATGATTTTATCACTTGAATTTTCAAAGCCTTTGCAATGCTCTTGGATCTATCTCACTTGTGCATCACTCAGGTTTAAATCTCGGACCTGGTGGTGGTCCGCCTAGTAGCCAATTTTCAAAACCTTTAGCATGTTGTTCTGAGTCAGCTGCATGCATAAGCAGTTTAGAGTTGAGATAGCTTTATAAGATCTTTTCCTCGATCTCCCTCTTTTCATAATTTCTCCCACAGTCTCCTGACGCCAACAGCCTGTTTTCTTGGTTGTCTAGCTAGATACCAGAAATCCAATATTGTGTGATTTCTTACCTATGGTCTAGTTAGTCAAGTCATGTCTATCAGTTAGGTCCAAATGACAATCCATCATTTTTTAACAAATTATTTTATACCCATAGCAATTTATAGTTTATGAAGCTCTTTCCCATTAATTTTTTTATTGACTCTCAAAACAATTCTATGAAATAAGCAAGGCTTTTATGACTATTCTGATTAAAACTTTACAGAGGAAAATACAGAATGCCAGAAATGTTTTATATGACTTCTTCAAAGATACTGTCAGCGCCAGCACCCAAAGTGGTCTGCTGGCTCTCTGTCAAATGCTCTTCACACTGAACCACAGAGCCATTGGTTGTATGCACATCATATGACATCATATGCAGCGTCAGGCACGTCATAATTAGATGAATGTCCTTGGAGCCGAAAGAAAGGCACAAGCACAGCAGTACCTCAACAGTCTATCTGATAACCAGGACAGCTGCTGTGTGACTGATGGACGGGGAGCATATACAGCATGAATACACCGGACAAAGGAATGATTCACATCTCGGGCAGAATGAAACAAGTCAGCAACAGATTTCATTATGCTACTCAGAAGGGCGCACAATTTAAACTTATAAGTTATTTACTTCTGGAATATTCCGTTTTAATATTTTCACACTGAAACTATGGAAAGCAAAACTGTGGATAAAAGAGGATGCCTGTATACTGACTATAGTGTTGCAAAGAGAACTGACCATAATTATAAAGTTAAGTTAGAAACCACAGGTGGTAGTAACTCAAGTTCATTTCTCTCTCCACCTATATCCCTGGTGTGGAACATTAAATAGCACTTTCATAATTACATAGCACAGCAATAATTAATATTGATCTTGGATCTCAGGAAAGGTCAACACTAATTTGTAGGCAACGTTGGATTCAATCTAGTCTTCACTCTGGGATTCATGCAGGGGACACTGTTTTACTAGCTCCACGACCACTAACAACCATAACACAGGCTCAAACCTACACAAACTGTCAGAAAATTTTTTATTTTTTTATTGTTTTAAGATATGGTAGACTACTGAATGGATCCTGAATCCCTGGTAAAATAGTGTCTTGATTATGAAAAGACGAATCTTTTCATTGGATTTCTAATCTGAAAGGGTTTAGTTTTTCTTTTCTTTCAACTAATGTTATTGGAGGGAGGGGTCTCTAGTATGCCCTGCTTTGTCTTATGTGACAGGTAAAGCAGAGGACAGACCAATCTAAACATTGTTATCATGTAATCATTGAGACTAGTGGTTCACAAACCTGTTTGCCTATTAGAATTACTTGGGGGAGCTTTAAAAAAAAATATCCTGGGCCTTGCCACATAAAAACCTGTACAGCAGAATTATTCATAATAGCCAAAACCCACAAACAACCCAAATGTGCCTAAGCTGATAAAAGGATAGATAAAATGAAATGGGGTATATCTATAAAGTGGAATCATCTTTAGTAATAAAAAAGGATGAAGTCCTGTCACATGCTACAACATGATGAACCTTGGAAAGTTTGCTAAATGAAAGAAGCCAGATACAAAGACCACATATTGTATGATTCCATTCAGATGAAGTGTCCAATATAGGCAAATCTATAGAAAGCAGATTAGCGACTGTCTAGGACGAGGAACTTTGGGGAGGAATAGAGAGTGACTGCTAATGAGTACAGGTGTCTTTTTCAGAGTGATGAAAATGTTCTAAAATTGACTATAATCAAATGCAAATCAAAACCACAATGAGATATCACCTTACACCTGTTATGATGGCTATTATTTAAAAAGACACAAGTGACAACACGTTTTGGCAAGGGTGTGGAGAAAAGCGTTGGTGTGAATGCAAATTGGTGCCGCCTCTATGAAAAACAGTATGGAGGTTCCTCAAAAAATTAAAAACAGAACTACCATATGATCCAGCAATCCCATTTCTGGGTTTAGCTCCAAAGGAAATAAAATTAGTATCTTGAAGATGCCATATCTAACTTTAGAACCCGAGTTTAGTGTCTGGAGTACATACCCCAGCGGTTGCCTCTTTCCTGCCAGTCTCCATGGCATCTGTGCAATCTTCATGACTGGGCCTGTGCCACAATCTCCCCTTCAGCAACTCAGACCCTGGCTGGAAACAAGCCTCACTTGGAAGAACAGTTAGCAGTGCTGGTCTTCTCCCAAACTTGGAGCAGGTCTGACCTCCTGCAAACTGGCTGGATGGCTAGCACCTTGCATCATGTTAGAGAACCTTCCTTATTATGTCCCAGACTGTCCCCTGCCAGACACTTAATACTGCCACTGCCTGGAGACAATGACCTTGAACCCTCACCAGCTTAAATGTCAACACTGGCCTGGGCAGGCCAGATATGGCCCAGAATGTCCACTTGGAGCTTAGCAATGACTGCTGGTCCCTATGGCATGACACTCCAGCTTCATCTCCTTCCCCGGCCACTCTGCTGGCAAGGGTACCTCTGAAATCTTGTTAGAAAGAATATAAAACATTTAAAGTTAATACATTGTTTAACAAGTATTGTCTTTTTTAAAACATTTTACAGCGTAGCCGAAACCGGTTTGGCTCAATGGATAGAGCGTCGGCTTGGGGACTGAAAGGTCCAGGGTTAGATTGCGGTCAAGGGCATGTACCTTGGTTGCGGGCATATCCCCAGTAGGGGGTGTGCAAGAGGCAGCTGATCGATGACTCTCATCGATGTTTCTAACTCTCTATCACTCTCCCTTCCTCTTTGTACAAAATCAATAAAATATTTTTTTTTAACTTTTAAAAAATAAATAAATAAATAAATTTTTGCAGTGTAAATTCCAATTAAGTGTATTCTGAAACATTTTTGAGAATTTCAGGAGGGATGACGAAATCAATCAAACCACATCACACTCTTAACACCAAAACTCTGGGAGATCAGAGGGCTCAAGTGTGAGTCCCCTTCCTCCTCCTGGGGAGCCATACTGACTCCCAGGTCCAGGGCTCACTGGTAGGGCGCCTGCAGGGAATAACCTGAAAAAGGAATTATAAATATGCCCATCAAATGTGTGGAGGTCATTTAATGGAACAACCATAATAGATGTGTGGGAGATAGGATGGAGAGCCTTCATGGAGAGCAAGATCATATATTTAGAAACAAAACGTACATGGATATGAGAAGTCAGATTGTAAATGCTGAAAAAATCCCAGGGACACAGATGAGCATGTGTTGCACTAAACATGCAGGGCAGGAGGGCTGCTGTCAACCAACTGAGCTGGAAGGCTCACCACGAGACCGTACGTTTATATACTGGTTATTAGAAAGCTCCACACTTAGGATACCTAAGCTCAGTTCCACATATTTTATAGAGAAGCAATCTTGGTTCCATAATTAAACCTTAAAAGTAACAATTGCCAGAAAGTTGAAAACCCCAAAACTCAACAAAACATTATAATGTATAGCAAGTATTCATAAATGTTTATTTCAATGAATGACAAATAATTTCATCCAACAGTCTTTAAATTGCTTCAAACGGTCAATATTTAACTTCAAATTTCATATGATTTTATTCCTTCTGTGTAAAAATTGCTAAAAGCTTGATACGTCTATTTCTTATCAAAAAAGTTTATGCCCAGAGTGAATAAACTGGTGGCTTTATAAAACCATTGTAGTTCAAGAATGAAAAGGTAAATGTTTGCCAGACATTTCACCCAGTTGTGTAAGTTATCTAAAATGAAACAAATAAAAATATAAATTAAATCTTTATATCACTCTCTAAAGTCTTTAGGCTTTATTTAGGTTTTAGTTTTATGTGAAGCTTACTGTCCCTGAAAATTTCTAATTATGTAACACCAGTCTCAATATCCCAAAGTGTTTGTACTTTAAAGCGGGGTGACAGGATGCCGAGAGCCCGACACAGACTTTCTACACGAAGCCGTGTCCCACAGCAATGTCCCACGGTCCTGGTCTACACTCACACGGAGATGGGCCGTCACCGGAGGGCTCTTTTGGGACAGTTGGTGTTCTCAATGCTCTCGTTTTTTGTTCAAAACGTAGACTTCATTTTAATCAGGAGGAGAGATCTGCCACGTCTTCCATTTCACACTCGTCTGTCCACTTTCGCAGGTCTTTTGCATCCGTTGCCGTCCATAATTTTGTAAAACACTTCAGCCTTTTCCTGGAGAGAAAATAAAGTGCAGCTCACTTCAGAAACGGAATGGTTGGGGAACAATACATCTCACGGAAGGCGACGAGGAGTCTGTGACGCCAGAATCCCAGCAGGGCCCTGCGGGGAGGAGGCGGTGTCGGCGACAGCCTGCTGGTGGCGGAAGTTCTCAGCGCTGCTGCCCTCATCGAGGGGCCGAGGTTACTGATCAGCAGCACGATGGCCTCCAGGGAGGGACAGCCGGCCTCCTCCCTTTTCTACTAGTAACCTCAGCCAGAGGCCGCCGATGCTCACAGGATAAAAAGCAAAATTGATTTACTAAAATAAAGCTAGCTGTGAAAAAGGGGGAAATGCCAACATAACACAGACCTGCTTTTTTTTCGGCAGAAAGCAACCCAGTTATGTGTTTAGGTCTGAAGCCAGAGAATCTGAGTTCTAATCACTGCTCCACCACTACCTACCTGTGTGACCCTGGTTTCTTGGTGAGATTCCTACTCTCAGTTGGCCCCGTTTCCCCAACTATAACAAGGGGATTGCAACAACAGTACCTCTCTCACAAGGTTGTCATGGGATTAAATATATAAAGCAGCAAGATAAATAACTGGGCCTCTGTAAACGACTGTCCAGACTTGTTTCTCTGCACAGTAGGCACTCAATAAATATTAGCAATTATAACAAATCCACACCAATGCCTACGATCTGGCCAATAGAATTGATAAAGATAAGCACTTTTAGTGAAAAGGTAAAATAATATAGTGTTGTGGTAAATCATCAGATTCCATCCCAACACAACCTCTTCCTACAAGTCTCTGTCTTGTCAAGATAACATTCTAGATTTCAAAATGTCACACAGTAGTTGGAGGTGGTGGTGCTGGAGGCAGCTGATCAATGATTTTCTCTCACTATTGATGTTTCTATCTTCCTTCCTCTCTCTGAAATAAATAAAGTTTTTTTAATACTTATACATTATCTGTGAATTTTATCGTTCTGATAGGCTAAAGTGTAAAATATATTTTGTAGTGACGTTTTATTATACAAATAAAAAAAATCATAATAAGACAACGAAAGACTAAAGTTGTCTTTGCACTTTGCAAAAAACTAGAGCTAAGTTTATTTTTAAACTCTCATAGGTGATTATTCTTCTCTTGAAAATTTTTTTATATGAATCTATTTTGTAACAAATTAGAAATAGGCTGTCACTAATTACACCATTTTCTTCTAATTGGGCACTGCACAAATGACTCAGAAGAGAATGTCAACAGACAAAGCTATTGTACATGCCGGTCATCCACCACTGACCATGCGGGTGCAGAGTGCAAGGCAGACCAACAAGACAAAGAAAAAGGAGGAAGAGAAGTTGATTGCACAACTGTACTTCAGTATATAAGTTTGCAATTGATTCTTTAACTAATGCATCAATATTTAAATTTGGTGATGATTTCTAGAACAAAAACATATTATTATAGTACGGTAGCCAGACAAGATTTTTCTATTTAACCCACAATTTTCCGTTCAGGTTGCAGTTGGCAGGCCTCCAGGCCCTTCCTGTTGGCCAGAGACATCAGTTTCTTTCCATTTCTCAGCCCACAGCAGGCTTCCCTCAGAGCAGGCAAGCAAGAGTGCCCAGGACAGAGGCCACTGCCTTCTGTAATCCAATCTCAGAGTGACAGGACATCATTTTTGCCATATTCTGTTCAAGTCACTGGGTCTAGCCTACACTCAAGGAGAAGAGATGGGACTGTTGGAGGCAGGGATCTTTGGTGGTCACCGCAGAGGCTGCCTACCAACCTACATAGCAACCTACCTCCCAGGCAGACCAGGAGTGGGCAATAGGAAGATGAGGAGCTTATGTTGTTTGATAATATAATGATGTTTGGAAAACAAAAGACTATACTTTTTTTTTTTTAATTTATATGATATTTTCCTGGGAATGTTTTCCTTCCAAAGTATATCGTGAGTGGATTTATATTAAGATGAGTTTATATATTGACTACATACATGCTGGATTTCAAGGGCAAAGGGTAGAATGCATTCACATAAGTATTCCAGGGGACAGAGAAAAGTCAAGTATAGAATGAAAAATCTGTCAAAAACAAATCCACAAATCCAGCATGTAGATACTGACTATACTTACCTAGTTACATAATACTGTTATTTTCATTCATGTCCTCACAGAATCTTTAATATCCGAATGCAATATATGAAAAAAAGAGGTAGCCCAAAGATTCTATATATTGGGGTTTTTTAGTAATTTTTTTTGTACAAATGAATATTTTAGGCAACTAATGTGTTGTCACATGTTATGGAGCTAAGTGATTCTTTAAAAAAAATGACAGGAAAACCAATTTAGCAACTTAATAGATGAAGCTCTGACTAGAGAAGCAAATTCACATAAACTTTGGGAGAACTGCTTTCATTTTACTGTAATTAAATATTTCAGAATATTTGAAGAGGTGCTTAAAGGTAGACCTAAGGTTCATTTACAAAACAGTCCTCTTCCTTGGACAAAATGGAAGGTTTCATGATAAATTAAAAAATGCAACACAACGACTCTGACCTTTTCATATTTACTAATCCTTCCAGCTCTTTCGACTTGCTGGCTGCTTTCTTTAAAATTTCTCCAGGGACATCTGCTAGTTTAGCCACATTTAGTCCATAACTCCTTGCTGCAATTCCTCTGGTTATTTGATAAAGAAAGGTGACAAACTCAGGGGCTTCTTCACCTACAAAATAAAACAAAAAAGAAGATGAAGAAAACCATGCCTGAAAGTTGAAAGAAATTAGATTAAAGCAGACATATAAATTCTTAAACTTTATTAAAATTTATGATCTGAAAAAGAAACCCACTGTTCCTTATCATCTGTTAGCTCCTTTGATTAAGTCTATATATCCAGAAAGAAAGAAAAAATGCCAATTTGAAAATGCTTTTGCATTTAGGATTTTTTTGCTTAAAATGGTTTTTAAAAATGATTCATTGCACTGAAACCGGTTTGGCTCAGTGGTAGAGCATTGGTCTGGGAACTGAAAAGTCCCAGGTTCTTTTCCGGCCAAGGGCATGTACATTAGCTGTGGGCATATCCCCGGTAGGGGGTGTGCAGGAGGCAGCTGGTCTATGTTTCTCTCTCATCGACATTTCTAGCTCTCTATCTCTCTCCCTTCCTCTCTGTAAAAAATCAATAAAATATATATTAAAAATGATTCATTGCAAATTAAGAAATAATTAGTTTTATGCTGCTCACTGAAAGATTTGATGTGAACATCTATATAAAACAGAGAATGATCTGATACATGCTACACTGTAATTTCACCTTTAAAAACAAATTATTTTAAAAGTGTTACTGCAAAGAAATAATGTGTTCAGTCTTATATGTATGCACCCTATAAAGTAATATACATAAGCTGTTTTTAAAAGTGACAGCAATAAGACAACAACAAAACAGAGAGGGAAATATTACGTTACACAGTTTAAATAAGATTGAGAAATTAGAGTTTATTAATTACTAGTGGCCTGGTGCATGAAAATTCATGCATGGGGGGGGGAGGTCCCCTCAGTCCAGCCTGCCCCCTCTCACGGTCCAGGAACCCTCAGGCCCAGGAGGCTACCTTGCTATCAGGGGAAGGTGATGCCCCATCACACCTTTGCTGCTGCCACTGCCAGCAGTGCAAGCCTCGGCCAGCCTTGGTTACCTGAGCCTCGGGCAGCCCTGAGTGGATGGGCAGCCGCCATCCAAGGCTTGCCTACACCTCAGGACTGCCTTGGGCAGCTGGACAGCCATCTTCCAAGGCTTGCCTGCACCTCGGGCTGGCCCTGGACGGCTGGGGGGCCTGAGGGGACTGGGGACTCTAGAGGCAGGAGCGCAGAGTGTCCAGGCCTGCCTGGGGGTGGGCCCAGCCTTGCCACACACCTGCCACCCCAGTGGGACTGAGGGGACTGGGCACGGCCATCTTTGAGGATGTGGCAGTCAATTAGCATAGTCCCTCCTTATTGGCTAAGGGCACTGCCATCTTTGAGGGCAGGGCAGTCAATTAGCATGGTCCCTCTTTATTAGATAGGATCATAGTAACCAAAAGTAGTCTATATAGAAATGGATGCTGTTCAGTACCACACATATCCCTCTGTGGAATGACAGGTTTATCGCCCTAACCGTTAGAAAGTTGTTGGCTCGAGACCCTTTGCTCTATGCCCTCTTTAGGAACTGCCTCAGCTGAAGAGGGCGGCTTCACCCAAGGTCACGATCCAGCCTGCACCCAGTGACAGATTGCATTGCAGGCTGGCAGGCAGCCTCTAAGATGACCTGCCTCCTAGTGTTCACGCCCTGTGTCATCCCCTCTCCTTGGGTATAGGCTGGACCCAGTGACTTGCTTCCTTTGAACAGAATATGACAAAAACGATGTCACGTCACCTCTGAGATTAGATTACAAAAGGCAGTGGCCTCTATCTTGGGCGGTCTTGCTTGCCTGCTCTGAGGGAAGCCCGTTGACCTGTTGTGGGCTGCGGAGTGGAGAGGCCTACATGGAAAGAAACTGATGTCTCCGGCCAACAGCCAGGAGGGCCTGGAGGCCTGCCATCAGCCACGTGAGTGAGCTTGAAGTAGATATTCTGAGGCCTGCCAACAGCCATGTCAGTGGGCTGCGAAGTGGATTTCACTAGTTGAGTCTTGAAGTGGCTGCTGCCCCAGTCAGTACCTTGCTAGTAGCATTATGAGAGATTGCAAAGTGAAGAGGTCAGCTCAGCTATCCATGGATTCCTACCACAGAAATTAGGAGATAATATGTATTTGCTTTTTTTTAAAAGTAGGTTTATAGTTGTGAGTATATAAAAGTTTATTCTTATATTATTTATTGATTAGTGTATTATTTTCCTTATGAACAACTGTAAACCTATACTTTTTTTAAAAAAATTTTGTTGTTGATTTCAGAGAGGAAAGGAGAGGGAGAGATGAAAACATCAACGATGAGAGAGAAACATCCATCAGCTGCCTCCTACACACCCCACACTGGGGATTGAGCCCACAATCTGAGCATATGCCCTGAATGGGAATTGAACCCTGACTCAAACTGGGTTAGTCCTAACTGTCCTGGTTCATAGGTCGATGCTCAACCACTAAGCCACACCAGCTGGGCTGTGTTTGCAATTTTAAGCTGCTCTGTTTGGGAGTAATATGCTATGCTACAATAGATAACTAATAACAGGTTTACAGCCTGACTCCCTCCCCAGAAGCTGAGGTTGCTGTGAAGGACCATCCCAGCCTCTTTGCGGGGCTGGCAGAAGCCTCCTGGCCACCTCACAGCTCCATCCTGCCCAGCCCAGTACTCCTCAGGAACCCAGTCCATCACACATCAACATACACATGAATTAAAAGCTTTTAAAGAATCGGGATGTAATGAACTACAATAATACAAACACAATGCTGCATATAGTTTGATCTGTGATAAATCTGAAGCATTGTGTAGCTTTTATTATCAAGTTCAATATAATTGTACTGTGTTGCAAAAAATGTCCAACATGAACAAGATATACAATGATTTCTTATACTCTAGTATACTTATAAATTTATCATCAGACTTTTCTCATACATTATTTCATTGCATAAATGCGTATGCATTATTCTTTTACCAGCTAAAAACTAAAACATCAAAAAAGTGAACACAACGGAGAAACTGGATAATGAAATTTTCCTTAACTTCCTCTAAGAATTCAGCAACAGGGAAATAATAGTATCTTTCTGAGGGTGGATGCTGGCAGTGGGAGGTGAAAGAATGCTGATACCCTTTGGGAAAACAGAGACTAAAATTTACATTACAAAGCACCAAGAATACCTTCTGCCTCCAAATATAATTTAAGGAGCTTGAAGAACTCGTGAGGAGGTGGATGGGAACAGATAAGGAAAAGAAGCCGGGAGAAGCCAGTGCCTGACATGGAGTGAGGGATGGAAGCAGGAAACTGCTGCCTGGTAGCTTGAGCCTTTAAGCATCATCTAATTTTTAAAGTTATGTTATGAATAAGCTTTCAAATCAGTAAAATAAAAGCACAAGATGTAAGGCTCTGGGTTAGGAGTTCACATCGAATGCTCACCCCTGACCGTTCTCTATTGGAGAACCCTATTTTGTTTATCCCTATTTTGTGTTTTAGCTTCTAAGCTCCTCCTGTCACTTTGGATGCAGATTAATAGAAATGAAACTGCTTCCATGAGAGAATTTATCATGTGTTTTTCAAGACCGCATGGTGGTGAAAGGCAAGAATTGCCCAATATTACTTTATCTTAGGTCCAGGGTTTTGTTTTATTTGTGTTAGTGGCCTGATTTCTTTTTCAGATCCATCCTTATTGGTCTTCCAAAATAAAATTGGGACTCTGGAGTGTCTTGAAAAATGGATTTTCCATTGTTGCACATCAACTATGTAAAGCATCATAGGCCCACAGGCTGGTAGCTTTAAAAAATTACTACTACAGGGGAAAAATCATGCTAAAATCTATTCCTATTTATATAGCACTTGAATTTGTTTCTATCAGCTAAGGATGTTCTTTTTTTCCTAAAATGTCTCATTTCTGTGACACTAATAGTAAGTGGCAAGGCTAGGGGAAATGCTGCAATCCCACATGGAATCTAGCAGGAGTGGGAGAGAAGAGAACCTGCCAGCAGAAGACTGGATTCTAGGCTCAGGTCACCCCCCACCCAGATGGCCAACACAGGCAAGCCACCTCACCTGTCTGAGATTCGGTTTCCTTGTCAAATAAAATATGTCCTATCCTGCCCAGCCGGGAGTAGCTCAGTGGTTGAGCGTCGACCCAAGAACCAAGAGGTCACCTGTTCGATTCCCAGTTAGGACAAATGTCCAGGTTTTGGGCTCGATCCCCAGTGGAGGGCATGCAAGAGGCAGTCAATCAATGATTCTCTCTCATTGATGTTTCTATCTCTCTCTCTCCTTCTCCCTTCCTCTCTGAAATCAATAAAAACATATTTTTTTTAAAAAGGCCAGTATAGAACATGGCTCTTAATAACATAAGTAAGGTTAAATAATGATTTGGATAAAATATTGGGTATTTTAAAAGATGACAAATTATACTCTGCACTTGACTGTTAAGGGCATCTTTCCTGAGATGAAGCTAAGAGAAAAACCTACATGTCCCCCAACCCCACCTTCTTCTTATGAAAAAATGAGGTGAGGAACACCAAGAAAAGTCTCAGAGATGGCAAGGATAAATGTGAATTCTATTTGACCCAAAGCTTAGAGAAAATTAATTTGGATAAATGGCATTTACTATCAACATTCACAGCTTTTATTATTACTAAGCAGTAAGTTCATGTTTCTATAAACTTTAAGTTATCAAACATGGAAACCAACAACCTTATAGTTGTACCTGTTAAGGAACATTTCATACCTGTATCTTGTTTGCTCTCATCCTCGCTGACCAGGAATCCCATGTGATAATTCCCCACCTGTTGTGAGTAACTTTTCTCTAACTCACAGACTGGCGGATAATGGGTGACAAACAGGGTTAAGGATTCCACCTAAAGTGATAAGACATATAATAAATGTTTTTTTCTTTTTAAATTTTATGTAATTTAAACTTTTCTCCAATTTTCTGTTTTGAAATTTTTTAATCTTCATTAAAGTTGCAAAGAAAATAAGTAAAATGACATCAGTATACTCTTTATCTAGACAACTATTAATATTTTGCCCATTTTCCCCTTCCTTCCTCCTTCCCCACTCTACACACACACAAACACATACACACACACACACACAGACACACACACACACACACACTTTCCTGAACGATCTGAAAATTTCGGACGGTATAACACTTCACCCCTAAATACTTAAGATTCTTATCTTCTATGAACAAAAATATTCTTTTACATAATAAGAATAAAATGTATTACACTCAAGAAATTTAACACTGATATATTTCTATTACAGCTAACAGATAGCCTATATATTTCCCTAAACTGTTCCATTTGTAAATGTTCCTTTTTAATCAAGGATCATGCAGTGCACTTAGTCATGTCTTTCAAATTTCCATTAACTTAGAGGAGTTCCTCAGCCTTTTCTTTTTGTCTTTTATGACATTAACATTTTTGAAGTATCTAAGAGAGCTGTTCTGCATAATGTCCCTCAATTTAGATTTGGCTGATTGTATCCTCATGATTACATTCAGATTAAACCTTATTTGCCAAGAACATCACATATCTCTGTAGGTGATACATCCTTTTCAGTGCATCAGGTGACACACATCAACTTGGGGGTGCTAAATTTGCCTATCTGGTTTAAGTGGGTGTCCAGAAGGTTCCTTCATTGTACTGATACCTTTATCTCCTTTATAATAAATAAATATTTTGTAAGGTGATACTTTGAGTCTCCAACCATCTTTCAAAGGTTTTACCCCTATGGTCAGTGCCAGAATCAGTTATTATCATGTTGGTTACTAAATCTTGTGTTGTGTTTTTTTTGTTGTTGTTTTTTTTAAATATCTACATAATTATTAGTTGGCATTCTATAAATAGTGCTTTACCTTACCCTCACCCTACCTTCAGCATTTTAACATTTGTTTTCTATTTTTTGGTATCAGTACAGAGTCCATGTATTCTTTAATAAGCATTATTTAAAAGCACACATTATTATGTCTTATAGAAATCCCTGTCTTGAGGGAAGTTAACACCAAATCATGGTCTAAAAATTAATAGAAGAGGGTCATTAAATTGGAGACCTCCAGATTTGATTCATCTGTCACTCATCTTATTAACAATTACAAATAAAGCTATGAAGGCAGGATTTCTGTGACAAAGAGGCTCTTAAAATCTCCACAGTACCTTTCCTGAGCTGACAGGCCTTTCTGGCCAAAAGACCTAAGGGTTTGTGCAACAGCACTGCTCCCCTCAGGGCCGCAGTAACTCACAGCAGCAAAGCACAGCCTCCCCATCGCTCCTCCCTCATCACCCTTCCCCATCTTAGCAATCAAAAGACACCACGAAAATAAGTAATTTCATCCACAAAAAGGTTGGAGACTAATGTTTCAGAAGAATCCTCTTCAATGACTTTCTCTGAAGTAAATTTTATCTGAAAATAGCACTCTCTTCATTAACAGTTACTAGTAAATATCCAAAAACTGCTAGAGAAGTGACAAATTCAATTCTGTCTTAATCTATTCCTAAATGAGTCTTTGAAATATCAACAAACTGCTTTTGATGGCTCCTGCTTTTTCGTGGTCTTCCCACTTCCCACACTGAATCAGGGCTGGCCTACGTGGCCCACAGAAGGTGGCAGCAGTGGCAGTGGCATCTGCCACTAAGTCATAGGAAGCATTGTTGCTTCGGCCTTGGTCTCTTGGACTGATTCCTCAGGGGAAGGCAGCCTTGTGGGAAGGCCATAGGGAGAGCAGCTGAGGGTCCTGGCCAAGCACCAGCACCAGGTTGCTGGCCATGTCTCTGTGCCATACTGGAAGAGGACCCTCCAGCCCCAGGCAAGCCTTCGATGACTCCAGCCCTGACTGACTACCTGAATAGGGCCAGAGGAAGGGGGGCCGGGTCTGACTGGAAATGGGAGACAGCTATAATAATGCCAACAATAAAAAGAAAAGAAAATATTTTTAAAATACTAGTATGCTTCTACTGCCTACCTAAGAAAGAGGGGAAGAAATGGAAATAGAAGTCACAGAGACAAAAGAGTAAAACAAGCAGAGAACAAAACAGAAAAAGATACACTCAAAGTTCAGGGGCAGGTGACAGAAAGGGAGTGAGAGAAAGGGAGAGACCAAAATGAACCAGGACAGGAAGTAAGTAAACGGTGAGAGTTTGATGAAGATGTTGTAAGTTTGACACTATCGAAATTTCACACTGAGATGCTTAGAAATGCAATCTGAAAACAGATCTGCGGCATAGGAGGGAGGTTGCTGAAACACAGAAGGACACAGAGATTAAAACAAAGATTTTTCATGGAGATCTTTTAGCCTATTATTGCAAAAAGTAAGTCACAGTGTAAAAATGGCACTATCTTCTTTTTGTTCTTTCTCAAGTATCGGGTTGCGGGTGGGTGGTTCCTGCTTTTGGTATAGAACTTGCCACAAATAAGATACAGTTCTTGGGGGTGGGGTGGAATATTGTCAGGGAGGAACATCAAACACTATCACAAACACTATTTAGGGCCAATCTATCTGAGCTCAATGTATAGCTTTCGAATAATCAATTACTGTAACAATTAAAGATGATTTTGAATATTTAGAAACTGAAGACGGAAAAACAATTTGTACAGTATATACCATTTATGTACAAAAAAAACAAACAAACATATAAGGTACTTACATCTCTAATAAAATGCTCAAGTGTCGCATAAGCAATGGCAATTCCATCGTGGGTGCTCGTCCCCCTTCCTAATTCATCCAGGATAACCAAGGACTGTGACGTGGCTTTTCTTATTATTTCTGCTGTGTCAGTTAGTTCTTCCATAAATGTACTCTGTCCTTTATATATATTATCTGCAGCTCCCATCCTACAAATAAGATGAGGACAGATCCCCCCCTGAACTTTATTAGTAAATGAGGCATTATTTTCTCAACAACAAATATATAAGGTCCTTAGGGGTCCATACACTTTGAGCCAATCAAAGCTGAAATTAAACAGAAGAAACCTTACATCGGATACAGAATGCCCACCCTCACACTGCCCCTGGTAGGAACCTTCTGGATGGAAGAGTTAGGGCTGGGCAGAGCTCCTGCAGAGAAGGGAAACTTCTGACCCTGCCTTTTCCTGACCCTTCACTGCAAACCACAGTTATGGTACTCTCGGGGGAAACGGTGCTTCTCTACGCCACTGTGTTTAAATCCACAAACACTAGGATACTGAACAAGTAATGGCCTCTTCCTGTGTTGCCTTAACTGATATTTCAAATTAAAGTACCATGTTGAAGTAACTTAAGATAAAACTTTTTTACTCTAACTAGACTTATGGAGGGTTAGTAACCTCAGACACCTAATACAGGTCTGACTTCCCGAAAGAGTTCTCAGAGATGTCAAGAAATGGGCCCAAAAGATGTAAATGTTTCTTTCCTGTGAGACTGCCTGGAGCCTTGGGTATCCTGCTATACAATGCATTTCTCACAGGATGATCTAGTCCACAGCTCTTCTCTGACCTTTAACCATGAACCCCTACACCTTCTCCCGGGGCACCTTGTGATGACAGAACAGCTTGGTCTATAGAGCACATTTGGAAAAACACCGATTTTAGTACAAAAAAGAATCTGGAAAAGAAAGGAATAATTAGGTAGCTCTCACTCAAGGTCATGCAGTTGGTAGCAAAACTTAGAATTCAGATTTTCAACAGACTAGCCAGCTTTGTGAATTCTGGTAACTATTTTCTCAGCAAAACACTTTCATAGTTTTGTTATAACAGTGTACACGGGACCTACAGAAGCATAATGTACCTTTTATTTCTGGAGAAACCAAGCCATCCCCATCCTGTGCCTAAAGCCCTGAACAGGGCAAAGGAGAGGAAGCGAATCTCCCCACAGATCAGGGAGCCTTAGGAACCAGTGACATTTAGAGCCTTCAATAAACTACAGTATCTATGACGGAGTTGATACGGTCTAACTAGCATTGCTGTCAACTTTATCCATTTTAAAGCCATAACTTCTCAACATCATTTATGGGATGTTGCTAGCTTAGGAACATTCTGGCTTTTTCAAAGTTCAAATACTGTTATTTACTCCTCAGTTTTCAGTGTGTACTAATATTTCCCTACCACAAAGTGAGATTAAACTTTCCCACCTCTCCAGCCACTCTGAACTCTCCCATTTACCAGTAACACTGACTGGTGTCATCCCTGACAGGTTGTGAGCTGACAAAAAGAACAAATACCTGGCTGGTAATAAAATAGCTCTGGTAAAGCAAATGTTTTCTCAAGAATTAGAATAACAAGCAAATACTGAGCAGGATTTTAACACAACAGTTTGAGTGCTCTCTAGAAACCTTATAGTAATAGAGTGGTTTCACTGGCAATGTCAGGGACTGGAGAATGCTCTTGGGAAAGATATTCAAAGGTCAGATTTCAAATCAGAGAGAAAGGATGAATGACCAGTCCAAAAAGAAAAGAAAAAGATGCTAGTTGATTGGATATTTCAGAAAAAATAGGGGGGGGAAATGTGTGTCCCCACCTAAATAAAAATACTATATTTTTAAAAACATTAGTGGATTTAAACGTTTAATGCAAAAATAGAAACCATAAACACACCAGGCGGTATAGATGAAATTTAATTTCTAGACAGGTAGATGGTGACTTTATGTACTGATGCGCCTCATGGTATTACAGGTTTTGGGCCTTTAGGCCAGACCAGATGTGATAGCAGGATCTTAGATGTTTAGTTCTTAAACAATGGTTCCAACTTTACTATTAGGCCAGTGGCTTTCAAGTATCTTTTTAGCTGTTAAATCCTTTGCTCAAATGAAATTTTACAAAGGAATTCACTCTGCAGATGAGATCAAAGACATGCCAATTTGGTTAAAAACCTAGCACTATTAGGCCCTTTTCCCCATCTGTGGGACTCTTAAAACCCTGTAGAGATCAGTTTGAAAGCCACTGCATTTGGAGCCAACACATTTTCTATTACAATTCTATTTTTCCACCGCACCTGATGACAAAGTGGAGCGGCTGCCAGGAGATGCTGAAGAAATGCTGGCTCATTAGCCAGGCTCCAAAGCCACTGGGGAAATATGCGTTTGTAACTGGGGGAGCTGTTCACGGGGAAAAATGTTTTCCTGTTAACTTCTCTTAGGAAATATATAGTGTGTTTATTTTTACAATACATTTTAACAATATAATGTCTGTATATGATTCTGATGGACACAGAATTTTATCACTAAGCACATTTTCCTTTTCATCTTTGTTACTAAGAAACAACTGTATGACATTTATATTACCAAATAGCAAATCTGACTTTATCTTACATTTTCCTCCTTATTTCTCTTATCCAGTGTCTCTGGAGACCATATTACTCTTATGGCATCTCACTCTTACTGTTTATATCTTACTGTATATATCCCAGTAAGCTGCCTAAAATAAGTTTCTGGAGCAAGGAGGGGTATAAATTAATTTACAAAAAGTTTGTAATTTTTCATTAACTCAACAAGCATTTGTGATACATATTACAGAACAATGAGTCTGAAATTTTCCAAGTGTTAAAATATGTTAGAGATTTAGCCAAAACCGGGTGGCTCAATGGATAGAGCGTCAGCCTGAGGACTGAAAGGTCCCACGTTCGATTCTGGTCAAGGGCCTGTACCTTGGTTGCAGGTACATCCTCAGTGGGGGGTGTGCAAGAGGCAGCTGATCGATGTTTCTCTCTCATCAATGTTTCTAGCTTTCTATCCCTCTCTCTTCCTCTCTGTAAAAACTCAAAAAAGTATTTTTTTTAAATATGTTAGAGATTTAAAAGAATTCCAGGACGTATATCATTATCATTCTGTCTGTATTTATATTAAAATGTAGTGAAAATGCATTCTTTATATTTCATCTTAGAGTTAGTTTGCTCTGAGCCGACAGGTTATGTTATGTGATTAAGAAGAAAAAAACAACAACACTGATATTTTTAGGAGTGGCTGCTGACTAATCTTTCTAATCCCCCTATTCCTTTCTTGCCTATAACCCTTATATAGGTCAACAAAGCTTAATAAAGCATTAATAGAAGAAATAAATTATTGCTTTTTTGAATTAGTTTCTAAAATCAAGAACATTTTCATGAAAATTTCAAAAAGAGTTTGTTTTTATGAAATCTTGATATTTTGAGAAACATTCTACACGCTGCTAAATTAGAACAAAATGGGGTGAGGCTTGCCCCTTCAAATCACAACCTCTCGGCCTATGCAAGAAAAATGCTAGCATGAGGTTTGACATACTTTAAGTGCTTTTAAAATAATGGTGATTTTTTTTTAATATAAGTAAAATTTACCACTTTTAAGTGTCTAATTCAGTGGTATGAAGCACATTCACAATGTGGTATAGTCATCACCACTATCCACTAGCAGAACCTTTTCATCATTGCAAAACAGAAATTCTTTACCCATTAAAAAGATAATTCCACATTTTTTCCTCCCTTAGCTCCTGGTTGCTACAATTGTTATGATTTTGGGGAATGTTTCTGCAGCTACTAAACATGAATAATGATTTTTCAAAAAGAAAATACCTACTTTCTGTCTCTATGAATTGGTGTACTGTAGGTTCCTCACTAAGTTGAATTATACCCTATTGTCCTTTCAGTGCTTTGTATAGCAGGATTTTTATATCAGCTTGTTTTGTCTTCTTTTTAAAATTGAAAATATTCTATTCATTTCACTTTGCTCTAAAAACTTTGCAGAATTCTGTGCAGAGTAAGTATCAATATTTCTTGGGGCTTTAAAGTCAAAGAAGAGAAAAAGCTGCATAAAACTCCCCAATTATTAAAAGATATAATAATGTATGTTATTTAAAAGGCATAAAAATATAAAATAGGCCGGGACTGGTTTGGCTCAGTGGATAGAACGTGGGTCTGCGGACTGAAGGGTCCCAGGTTCGATTCCGGTCAAGGGCATGTACCTTGGTTGCGGGCACATCCCCAGTGGGGGGTGTGCAAGAGGCAGCTGGTCGATGTTTCTCTCTCATTGACATTTCTAACTCTCTGTCCCTCTCAATTCCTCTCTGTGTAAAATCAATAAAACATATTTAAAAATATATATATATATGTGTGTGTGTATATATATGTGTGTGTATATATTTATATATATATAAAATAGATCTGTAATACATTTAATGAAACATTAACTCAAAAATGGAATGAAATCACAATGATTTACCACTATATGTGTATGCTTTTTAAGGCCATATACCCAAACAACAACGATTTTCAGGTGGTAAAATTACAAGTGACATTTTTTCCCTTTTTTACAGTTTCAAATTTTGCCCAATGAACATGTATTACAATGAAATTAGAAAAACAGATGTTATTTTTTAAAATCACAGATACATTTAGAAACACTTTATAATCTTTTGTATGATTATGTTAAGACAAAGTAATTACCAAGTTAAATAAATAGCTTTCTTTCACCAAAATCAAAAATACTTTATTGGTGGCAAAGAAATTACTATAATAGACAAGAAAAAGCTTCCTTTCTCCAGTATAATTGTTTCCAGTAAGAGATGCAATCAGATCACACTATACTATGTAAAGTCAATTCACAAAAGCTCCAACACCGAACGGCAAATATAGCCAAGCAAAAACCACTGTAGCAACCTTTCAATTTCAGTTGAAATATTACTGAGAATCAAGGAAAATGCCAAACTTGTATTGACTCGCAAGAAACCGTGTTCACTGGACCATCTACACAGCATATGCAGACCATTTATGAAAGATGCAGGTGTTTCCCTATCAAAGGACACCCATACGGTACTGACGGGGCAAATGATTCTTAGTCCCCCCTGTGGGAAAGGCCCGAGAATTTCTTTTTCTTTTCTTTTTTTTTCTTTTTAATTTTTTGATTTTTTACAGAGAGGAAGGGAGGGAGATAGAGAGCCAGAAACGTCGATGAGAGAGAAACATCGACCAGCCGCCTCCTGCACATCCCCTACCCGGGGATGTGCCCGCAGCCAACGCACATGCCCTTGACCGGAATCGAACCCGGGACCCCTCAGTCCGCAGACCGATGCTCTACCACTGAGCCAAACCGGTTTCGGCAAGGCCCAAGAATTTCAAAGAACAATAATTAACAGAGAAAATGCTGTTTACCGGCCTTACCTATATCTGTGAAAACCACAAATAATTAAGGTCATCAAAGGACGGATAAATCAGAGTAATCAATAAGATCAATAGAGGGGAACACAACACAACCCTAAAGATGCATCCTTATAACTGAACTCACATTATGACCTCAAGCAAATCACAATCTCTGGGATTCTGTGTTTCCTTCTGTCAAGTGTCAAGAATTGAAATTGAACAATGGCTTCTAAATCTGTATTTGTTTCCGATTTAGGTTTTGAATACAGAGTCCAAGGGGCCCCTTCATCGTACCAATCCCAATAGTAACTCCAGGGGATCTGCACTGAGGGGACCTCCTAGGATCTGCCCTTAAAATCCAACCAAACCAAACACACACATGGCTACGAGGCATCACGTTCACATAACCACTTCCCATCCAAGAGGTAAAGTGAGATACTTCCTATTGGCTCTGACATGACGACAGGAGCTATGTAAAGCACAGAGACATTCATAAGATTAACATTTCTGATGCCAATGAAATTAAGAACAGCCCACTCATTTAGTAAAAAATCATTCACTGTGTGGTTTTTAGTGCTGGTATTTACTGCCAAGTAGAAGAATGCACTGATTCAATATGTTTCTTCCTGTCCAGAAGGACATGTGTTCTTTAACAGAGTACAAATACTCTGCAGTAAGTACTCAGTCAGTATTTTCTGAATTAAACTAAACTGGGCAAACAAACCAGTTATCCACACAAAGGCAACCATTTAAAATAATTTAAGCATCTGAATGCCTGTTACCTTCCACTTTCCTCTCAAAATAAATACACTGGTGCCATTCTGAGTACATAGCATTTCTGAAGCTAGGTGCCATAAGAGAGAGTTTACATGGTCAGCATGGCATGAAAATTATTAACCGGGGACCACTTAATATAAAAACCCTTTTCTACCAACATTTAATTGACATAAATAGAAATAAATTATGCTGAGAGAAGCCAATTGTTTTTGCTTTTTTTAACCAGAATTAATAATTAATTGTCTTTCTAAAACTTAATTACTGACTCTAAGAAGTAGAATGAGGTTTAAGTTTGCATTTATCAGGATAATAAACAAAGGATCATTTTTCAGTAATGTAGTCAATGATGGTAATGATCCTTAGAAATGTGTGTCTAGAAATAGGTCACTGATGAGTACATATACGACAATACACTGATATAAATATACCAATTAGAGCTCATTGTGCATGTTTGCCAAAATTTCACTTTAAAATAAATGTTTCTTGGTTACAACATTCAGGGCAGTAAAAAAGATTCCTAAAGGTTTCTGTTTACAGCTCTGACACATTTCTTTAGACTTCTTATAGCACAATGCACAGCATAAAGTAGGCACTCAATGAATATTTATGAATGCATGAATTTAAACACAGTGTTGTAAATGTCCAATTAATAATATAAAACTAACCAATTTAAAAATAAAGTTTGGAACCAGATTTTATGCTCCAAAAACATTGTTAATGCTTCTTTCCCCCCATGGGGCACAAAAAGGATTTGAAGTGATACAGAATAACAATATATTATAGTGGAAGAATTACAATGAATGTGAAACTAGAATTATAAACCATACGGTAGATTCTTGAATTTAAGACAGCAAATTTAGCATGAGCGTTTAAAATGCTAATTTGGGGATCTCACACTGGAGATTCCAATCTAATGGGCCAGTGATAGGTCTTAGAAAGTAGACTAAACAGCATCTCTGATTCTGATGCAGCTGGAGACATATTCCAGTGTAAGAAGAGAAGGGAACAACTAACACAAATTCGCTTCTACACCTGAGCCTTGAATTTAGCTCTTGCCTCCTTGGCAGTCAGGACAAAAAGGAATTAAAGAGGAAGCAGCCACGGGTGATAACAGGAGGCTGGGCAGTTTGACAGGGAAGCCAGAAGCCATTTTAAATTGCTGCAAACAGGAGAGAAAAAAATTCCTTAGCATTTAACAAAAAGTAATTTATGTGATGTCACTGCCTGCAAAATATATTAAGTAATTGAAATAAAATTATCTTTATGAGAAATTTTGGAGAAAATAAAGAAACATCATCAAATGGGTATGTCTTACTCTAATTTAATTTTAAAGCAAAGGACAAATTTACACAGGGCTGATGGGATTCTGAATTGGCCCAGCCTCTTTGAAGAATAAGCAAGATGCACATTTTTTACACTTTACAGTCCTGTGCCTGGATAAAACCTAGATTCAGAAAACTCATTTATGTGCACTAGGAGATGTGTGTAACACTGTTTGTGCTTATAACTAATTTGAATCATGTTAAGTATCAATCAAGAAAAATAAATTATGGTATATGTATATAATGGAATATCACCATTAAAGATAAAATTGTGTGGACGAGAATTTTATGTATCCATATTGGTGAATTTCACAAATATAATATTGTGGGTGGGGAAAGTCACTTGCAGAAGAATACATAGTGTGATATGGTACATATAAAATTTTTAAACATGCCAAATAATTGTATGTATTGTTTCAAAAAATACACCTACATAGTAAAAATATAGAGACATTCATGGGATGAAAACCAGAGTCAAGAAGGGCAGTTACTTGGGATGGGGTGGAGGGGAATAGGATAAGGGAGGCTCAAGGGTCCAGTTTTATTGGCAATACTTTATTTCCTTAGTAGGGTGGAGTCTTTAAATTTCTCATGTTGAGTTAATTTACAAATATGTGGAGATCAAAATAACCCCTATTTGGTGATATGGCATCAAACAAATTTTAGGTTGCTTTGCTTTGTTCACTCTCAGATAAAAAAAAAACAAGCTTCAAAGTATTTTAATGTCTACTCAAGTATGTCAATATTAGCATGTAATATATTCTGTTATGATTCCCAGTCAAATATTAAATAAATATGAAGCTGGACAGTAAATCAAAAACTCTATATGCATAGCTTGACTATACACTATGAACTACATTCACTTTTTTCTCAAAATGTCAAAAGTATAAATAATACTTTAAGAACTAATAAATCTAATGTCTAACTACTGTGCTGTACACCTGAAACTGATATATTATAGTATTGATTGTCAACTGCAATGGAAAAACATTTTCTTTGAATAATAATGTTGTGATAAGCTTGAAGTGAGAGATTACTAGAATTAGTGGGGTGATGACATTATAAAGGATAAAAATGTCAAATCACAATGTTGTATACCTGAAACTAGTACAACTAATATCGCATACCAACTACACTTACAAATTGAAAAAAATTTAAAGCAAAAAACACAAATCTAAATTGATAAATCTGTATAAATAGATTAAACTATGAACTCTAGTTAGTGAGACCAAATTTTTTCACCCATATTCCTAATAAGGCATTAAATTTAGGTTTTTATATTGAGGATTAAGATCTAGTTAGTTGCAAACAATGTTCTCAGAGTAAAAAGAATATGAGAAACTAGAGGCGAGGTGCACAACATTCATGCACTGCTGGAGGGGAGGATCCCTCAACTCAGCCTGCATCCTCTTGCAGTCTGGGACCCCTCAGCGGAAATCCCTCAAGGAGTCCTTAGAGCAGCCGTGGAGGCAGAAGAGGCTCCCACCACCACCACCACCACCACCACCACCACCACCACCACCGCTGCGCCAGCCGTGAGCCCGGCTTCTGCCCCTCCCCCTGAGAGAGCGCACTGACCACCAGGGAGCAGCTCCTGCATTGAGCGTCTGCCCTGTGATGGTCAGTGCACATCATAGCGACCGGTCATTCCGCCATTCAGTCTATTTGCATATTAGGATTTTATTATATAAGATTATCTTGTGCCAGTGCCCTTTTCAGGCTGTTCCCAGTTCCCACTTACAACACAGTGAGAATGCAATAGTCTCCAGACTCTGCTCTACAGAGCCCAGCAGCCAAGTCTCCAAGCCTTCCATCTCCAATCCAGGCAGCGCAGGTCTGCTTTTATCTGTTTAAATATTAATACTAATCTGCTTCATAAGATTTTCTCTAAAGTAAGAATTCAGTAACTAAAAGAAAACTTGAAACTATTGGACAAAATGGTCTTACGTCTTTCCTAGTATGAACATTCATGATGAAATTATTTATTTATGCTCCTAATTTCTAAATATTTTAAGAGCAGCTCTGTCCACTGAATATGTACAAAAAATTTACATGACCATATGGGCTTGGTTTATTTCAGAAACACGTTCAAATAGAAGTAATGCTTTTACCTCGTGTAAATGCCATCCACAATTCCAATGGTCGCTTCCTCGGCAGGCACATAGGAGCCGATCTGAGCCATGATAGTAATCAGTGCGACTTGTTTGATGTAGGAGCTCTTTCCACCCATGTTTGGCCCAGTAATTATCATTACTCTCTCTGCGTCCCCCTAGAAAATCAAAAAGTAATTTCACTATTGTACCAGAGGGGCTCTTATATAATGTTTACAATTGGTTCTATAAAGATTCATGCATTAGGCAAAAGATTGCACTGTGGTATTTAAATATTCACCAAGTAAGTATCACAGAGGAAAGAGGGCCTCTTTGTCCTCAACCCAATCTGTGCTACTGCAGAAAAGTGAATTCCTAGCATCACACACAGTTGTTTGTAGGCATTAAAAAAAGAAAGCAACCTGAACTGGATAACTACTATGACTTTCATATGAAATATTCATATGAATATGAATATATTGTTGATATGTGTGCTTTTTATATTGCTTACATTTAAAATCTAAGAAGTTTAGCACTACCACCACCACCACCACCACCACCCACCACCACCACACCACCACCAACCATCACAAAAAATAAATGAAATAAAAAATAAATAAAATCTAAGAAGTTTTATTTGTCTATCTTAAAACTATAGGTAGTATATGTCTAATTACCCAAGGCACTAATTTGGATGGGCATAACTAAATATTTTGAAATTTTAAATAAAATGAATTGATTTTTTTTTAATTGGCAAAAATGATACAATAAATAAAAAATACGGCCCTAGCCTGTGGACTGAAGGGTCCAAGGTTCAATTTCGGTCAAGGGCATGTGCCTACTTGTGGGCTCGATTCACATTAGGAGGTGTGCTGGAAGTAGTCAATCAATAATTCTCTCTCATCATTGATGTTTCTCTCCCTCTTCCTTCCTCTCTGAAATAAATAAAAAATATTTTTTAAAAATAAAAAATATGAATAATCCTGTATCTATTAAAGAAAGTAAATCTGCAATTAAAAGCCTTTCCACACACCACAAGAAAAACTCTAAACCAAGATAACTCCCCCACTGAATTCTTGCAAACATAAAAGAAATAGCACTAATCTTACGAAAACAGAACAAAACAAGAAGGAACTCTTCCCAAATCATTTCAAAAGGCCAATATATCTTGATACAAAAACCTGACAAATATATTACAATAAAGAAAAATTATAGGCTATTTTTTCCCATAAATATATATAAAACTTCTTAATAAAATATCAGTAAGCTATGCCCTAACAGGTTTGGCTCAGTGGATAGAGCGTCAGCCTGCAGACTCAAGGGTCCCAGGTTTGATTCTGGTCAAGGGCATGTACCTTGGTTGTGGGCACATACCCAGTAGGGAGTGTGCACAAGGCAGCTGATCGGTGTTTCTCTCTCATCGATGTTTCTAACTCTCTATTCCTCTCCCTTCCTCTCTGTAAAAAATTAATAAAATATATATTTTTTAAATATCACTAAGCCAATTCAAGGATATCAATAATTTAGAGTTTTTTAATATTACAAGGTTGGTTTAATATTCAATAGCCAATCAATAATTTACCACATTAATAAAGAAGAGAAATTATATAATTTCCAATGATACAATGAAAGCTTTTGATAAAATTCCATATTCATTCATTTAAAAAAAAATGCAGGAAAAGGAAATAAAAGATATAGGATTGCGGAAAAAAAAACAATAAAACTGCCATTATTCCTACATGTTATGATGTGTTCCCAGAACATCTAAAGAAATCTATAAAAATTATTGGATTCAATAAATGAATTCAATAAGATCCTTTGGTATAAAAATTCAGTATTCAAAAGTCAACTTTATTTCTACATTTTAGCTACAATTGAAAATTTTTAAATGTTACCTATATAACTTACCACAATACCAAAGAAATCAACTACCTAGAAATAAGTCTAACAAAATGAACAAGACCTCTATATATTGAAAGAAATAATATCATTGAAAGAAATTAAAGAAGACCTAATCAAATCAAGGAATATACCATGTTCATAGACTAGACAGCTCAGAACAGCAATGTTACAATAATTTTGTGTAATTCTGGCATATAGACATACAAATAGAACAGAGAAATAGAACAGAGTCCAGAAACAGATTGTATTCAGTTTGTAAATTTATGACAAAGGAGACCGTGCAGTACAGTAGAGAAAGGATGGTATTTCCAATAATTGGTGATAGGTCAAAAGGATATCCATATAGAAAAATAATCTTGATTTCATAATTTACATTCTAAACAAAAGTCAATTCCAGAAGGATTATAATTTGAAAGATAAGTGGAAAAAAATGAGGTAACCAGATAATAACATATGGCCTTGGGGTAGACAAGGATTTCTTAAACAAATCAAAATTACAATCTTTACTAATAAAAGGGTAATATGCTAATTAAACCAGGAGAGGGCAGTTGGGGGCCATGAGGCCAGCAGGAAAGGGCAGTTGGAGGCCATGAGGCTGACCAGGGAGGGCAGTTGGAAGCCATGAGGCCAGCAGGGAAGAGCAGTTGGGGGGAACCAGGCCAGCAAGCGGGGGCAGCTGGGAGTGATCATGCCTGCAAGAAGGAAGGGGGCAGTTGGGGGCGAGCAGGCCAGCAGGCAGAATGGTTGGGGGCAATCAGGAAAACAGGCAGGTGAGTGGTTTGGAGCCAGCAGTCCCAGATTGCAAGAGGGATGTCCGACTGTCAAGTTTAGGTCCCATCCCACAGGGATAGTGCCTAAACCGCCAGTCGGACATCCCCTGAGAGGTCCCAGATTAGAGAGGGTGCAGACCAGGCTAAGGGCACCCACCACCCCCTGCACAAATTTTGTGCATTAGGCCACTAGTTAACTATAAAGGAAAAGATTGAAAAATTAGAGTGCATTAAAATTATTAACTAGTCGAGACTGGTTTGGCTCAGTGGATAGAGCGTCGGCCTGCAGACTGAAGGGTCCCAGGTTCGATTCCGGTCAAGGGAATGTACCTTGGTTGCGGGCACATTCCCGGTGGGAGGTGTGCAGGAGGCAGCTGATCGATGTTTCTTGCTCTCTGTCCCTCTCTCTTCCTCTCTGTAAAAAATCCATAAAATATATTTTTAAAAATAAATAAATAAAATTATGAACTATTATTCATCAAATGATGCCTTTAAGAGAATGAAAAGCTGCATATCAGAAGATATGAGTTATACATTTAAACCTACTTTCTTTTTTTAATATTTTTATTGATTTTTAGAGAGAGAGGAAGGGAGAGGGAGAAATAGAAACATCAATGATGACAGAGAATCACTGACTGGGTGCCTCCTGTCCACCCCCTACTGGGGATTGAGCCCTCAACCCAGGCATGTGCCCTTGACCAAAATCAAACCTGGGACCTTTCAGTCCACAGGCCAAACCAGGCTTTTCACTGAGCCAAACCATCTAGGCTAATTTACTTAATTTTCTGGGTAAAATTTAAACCTACTTCAAATGCCTTAAAACTGAGGATGATCTAGCAGGTCCTCTTTTTTCTTTCCTTTTCTCAGAGACATTCTTCCTGGAGCCCTCTAGCTTCCCGTTTCATTTTGGACTGGTTGCCCTCAAGACCTGTTATATAATCTTAAACCTACTTTCAGTGAAACTATTCCTTCAGTGGTATGTCTGTGAGAGATTTTCAACAGCCTCTTTACCTTCTGTACAACCTGCTTCAGTGACAGATCTAGAATGGAAACTCCCTGTGCATACACTAGGATCACTCTGAGCCCCGTAACTCTAGCTCAGATCGCTCTCCTGGTCATTATATCCACCTCTACCTTAGGATGTCCACCTAATGTCCCACAAGCCCTCAAGTTCACGGTTCCTTTTTATTTGGTTCTTTGCTATATTCCTAGCCAGGAAACCTAATATAGCATGTGAAAAATAATGTTAATTGTTTACTGCCCATTAGATATCCTTTACTGGAATTTGTTGCCAATTTTTCTACTGGGTGATCTTTTAGTTCCCTCACAGTCTTTTAAATATTTCTGTTAGTGCTAATTTAATTGGGTGTATCTCCTACAAGATTAGGAATGTATATATCTTTCTTCTTTGTAAGCCTGACACCAAGAACAATACTGACACAAAATAAAGTGTCAAATCTATAAGAACCAAATATTCATAAAATAATGCTAACAAAAAAACTCATAAAAAATGCAAGATTGTGAAATGTGGGAGAAAAAGTATTCTTAAAATCAGGAGAGGGGAAAAAAGGACAGAAAGTTGGCTTGTTTAAGAAGCATTATAACAGGTTAATATAATATAAAATCCAAAAGAGTGTACTTTAATTTCATGGAAAAGAGACCATACTTAAAATTACATGATTATCAAAGCAACAATGTCATTTGACTTTCAGAAAATTATTTTCAGGGTATATCTTATAATAAACACCTAAAAAGTATTTTAAATTGAGTTTTAACTCAACATAGTAAGTTCTTTTTAACACTATCCCTTTATACTCTGCAAAACAGAATGCACTTCACCATAGCAACAGTTCTATATCAACTCCTACTCAAGTTAGAAAAAGCATATGTAAAAGAATAGAATATTCTGGAATATTCCAAGAATCGAGTTCAATGTTTCTTTAAAACATTCTTGTAATTAGGCACAAAGCTATTTTATTGTAGTTTCTCATATCTGGCTTTATTAAATAGTATAAATACATTATTTAAAAGAATGAGGGAAAAGTTAAAAAGGAAAAAAAGAGAAAAAAATCAATGTCAAAGATAAAAGTTTGGGATCACACTGGCTAGTGTGCTAGGGGATGGGAACAGAGACAGGAAATGATGTTTAAGTGATTTATAAGTAAAATATAAACTAAGGTACTAAATGTTATAACCATATATTTTCTCAAGAAAAGCTATATGCTACTGGTATTATGGAAACTAAAAATTCTTATGTGCACATAAACTTCCTTTAAAAGACAATAAAAGCATTAGTACTTATTAACTTGGTTTGATAAATTAAGTAATTTACAAATACCCTAATGAGAATGAACAACTTTATAGACATTGGGGATTGGGTAATATACTACCAAAAGTCTTTATATGATATAAAAATGTAACATTAAAGTAGAAGTAATTCAAAGCATTTCCTTCCATTTACCACCCAGTGCCTAGCCAAATTCACCATGTGCACATCTTTGTCATCCTTGCTCACAGCCCAAGATGGCTGTTCTATTCCCAATCCCCCCTTATGTTCTCAGCTTCCTCCCCTTGACCTGATTTCCAGCTGCTCCTCTACATTTCAATTCCTCCACTGTCCTCTGAAAAATTTCCAAATACTTCTACCTTTCTAACCTCATGTCAACATTTCCTTCATAACACTAGCTTAAACTGAAACCTGGCTGTTTCTCCCTGCAATTCTCTAATGTGGAGGCTGAGCTGTTTGCCACATCCTACCTCAAGCATCTCAGGGTCCAGAGGGTCTCCCATGTCTGCTTCTTTAGGGCTTTACTATCTCTACTTGTCCTTAGTGCAGATATCTACGAACCACCAGGTCTCCGGTCTCAATCCCTTGCTCTATGGTTATCTTGGATGATGTCCACATTCACATGGATGGCCTTTCCCAAACTCTTCCCCTGATCTCACCTCCATGGCCATACCTAGCATCTTGCCATCACCCAGAAGAACATGACCTCTGAAACCTGAAAGCCTCCCATCTCATTCTCTGATAAGACCTCTCTTACCTAACAAAGTCTACATATTAATTCTTTGATCTCACCACCAGATTAATTTTACTCTATGTTGACAAAGACTCTCTTCTTGACCAAACTCTAGTCAGACCTCAGATCTGCACCAGCTCTGTAGAAATCATTTCCGTTACCCTCTTCTCCCAGAGACCAGAATAAATTGCTTAAGGTCACATCCTTAGGATGACTCCATCTCTCCTGAAAGTGCCTGCTTGAGAAAACAGCCCAGTTGGAAGAATTTACTGTTTGTTCCAGCCAAAACCTGGTGATAAGCAGAAGGGCCCCAAAGTCCTCTCTTACTTCAGAAAGTTTGCAATTATAAGTCCTTTTTTTTGCCCCTTTGAGATGCAAATCTTCCACCAAGAACTGAGTTCTCAAGGACTTGAGAACCATCTCTTTGAAATATAAGCATTTCCTCCCCAGGCCCTGTAGAAGGGTATAAGTACCAGTTGCCAGTTAGTAAACCCAGACATGTTTCACATTAACCAACCTCCTTTCCTGCTTTTCCACCTCCCTAAATCTGCTCATGACCCTCCCACCCTCACACCATCCCCGCTCCTTGTTCTCTCATTGTACCTTTAAAATGCCCAGTCACTTTGCAAATACAGAAAATTAGTTCAGTTCCTGTTGGACTCTTTACTCAACTGCAATATTGTCGAATAAAACTGCTCTTATGACTTTAATTAGCATATGGCTTTATCTTTCACAATATCTCTCCCTCTCCCTTTTCCTCTCCCTCTCCTTCTCCTTCTCTATCTCTCTCCCCCACTAGTTCACTTTCCCCCCCAGCTTCAATCATTCTCTGCCTAGTACAGTAGTCCCCCCTGATCTGTGGTTTCACTTATCCCAGATCAACCAAGGTCCAAAAATATTAAATGGAAAATTCTAAAAGTAAACAACTGGTAAGTTTTAAATTGTGTGCCATTCTGAGTTCAGTGAATCTCTTACCATCCTGCTCCATCCTGTCCTGCATGTGAGTCATCCCAAACTATACAGTAATGGCCTGTCTTCTCTGCTAGAATATAAGCCCTCTGAGGACTGGAATACTAGTATTTCTGCCTTGCCAACCACTCTCTGTCCTAATACTTGCTTCACTACCAAGGCTAAAAAGGCACCCAGTAAGTACATGTAACACCACACACTAACAGAATTTGCAAAACCATGGTATGATTCCACTCCATCAGCACTTGTGAGCATTTATAAGTATAAAATATTTTTACTGGGTTACCTGGTATAACTAATTAAGACTAATCCTTTAGTTGCTAAATCTTTCCCTCTACAGAACATCTTTCCCTGGAGAGAGCACCCATTTCATATTTTAGCTATCGCCAAAAATTAGTCCAATTAAAGCCAAAATTAAAACTTGGGTAAATTTTTAAATTTTCATTTGGTATTTAAAGTGCCATGTTATCACCTTTTACTTATTTGGGGGCATAATGTATAACTTACTGACAAATTTGTACTGTTGGGAACATACTGATCCTGTTCTCCCAGCAACACGTCAATCACAGGGTGCCGGCCATTTTTTATGATGATTTTCCTTTCTTCTAGCAGAGTTGGTCTGTAAAAAGAAACCTGTTTTAATTTACTAGGCATAGGAAATAGCCTTTAAAAATTCTCTGTAAGGTAACGTGGAAAATTTCTGTGGTCAGTCATTCAGACAACAAAACCTTAAACAAGGACTTTAGGAACACATTTTCAGAATAAGTCTTTGAGTATAAAAGTTAAATTTTTAACTATCACATAAGAATTGGGAAGACAATTGTTATAATAATAGTTCCTTGAAGTACAAACTTTAGCAGTCTTGCAATGGCTCCACTAAACTACCTGTACAAAATTCTTTTATATTTTATATTTCTATTATCCCCTTAGATATTTTCATTAATTAAAAATTAAATTTCAGATTACTGCTACTTATTTTCAATAATAAGCATAATAAATAAATTCATTTCTAGATTTAGTTGTTACATTATTGTTGAGACTTGGGGAAAGAATGCCTTCAAATTTTCATATTCTATTTAATTAAAACATCTTTCTATGGTCTTTGGTGTGCCTTTGTACATTTTTTATATACAAAAACACTTTTTTTTTTTTTTGCTTTGCTAGTCTTTAGTAAACTTTAATATTTTTTTTAAATCTACAGCTTTTTCTATTTATCAGGTCTCAGCATTTTTAAAAATATATATTTTATTGATTTTTTACAGAGAGGAAGAAAGAGGGATAGAGAGTTAGAAACATCAATGAGAGAAAATCATCCACCAGCTGCCTCTTGCACACCCCCTACTGGGGATGTGCCCACAACTAAGGTACATGCCCTTGACCGAAATCAAACCTGGGACCTTTCAGTCCACAGGACGACTCTTTATCCACTGAGCCAAACCAGTCTCGGCTGGTCTCAGCATTTTTTGGAAGCTGCTGCATAGATGAGTTTGGTGTTCTCTGTTGCTGAATATCTAAACTATTCAGATTTTTCACTGTTTTAAGCAACACTTCAATGAATAGCCTAACATGTGTACATGTGCCTAACTCCACATGTTCCTCTAAGCTAAAGGAAATTTCTGAAGGGGAATTTCTAACTCAGAGGGTATGCTTTTTTTTTTTTTTAAGATAAGAGTAGCTATATCAATTTCCTTCCCATCAGCAGAATATGAAAGTTGACTTATTTGTCTATATCTTCACCTGAAGTTGGTGTTAACAATTTCTAATTTGTAACAATGTGGTACTGAACTGTGCTATCTCATTGTTTTCATTTGCCCTCATTGACTACTAAGGCTGAACATCTTTTTATCAATTTCTTAGCCATTTGTTGATCATTTTCATCAAAATACCCTATAAATGATCTCCTTAAGTTCTTTGACACAGAACTTTCACATATAAGTACATTTCTGAACTTACTTATAACAAGAAATACTACTACTTTCTTAAATACTTAAATTCTTCTTAAATATATCTGACTAACAAATCCCTAAGAATGTACCCTCACATTTCACAAAAGAAAGTAACTAAAGCATCATCTTCTGAGTAAATAATTTGAAACCATCCTTTGGGAAGAGACATTTGTAATTACAGAAGGACAGTTTTTGAATTTCAGAGTGAAGTCTAAAAATAGAACTTTTATCTAAATGGGTTGTGAATTTACTGTAAAAAAAATCAAACCATCTGTAGATGACATCAGTTTTAAAATAAAATCTTAGGTGCTCTGCCAAGTGAAATCAATATGTCATATTCATGACACTGACATGATTTTCCTGGAAGGTTTTCACTTAGAATAAAATTTTGAGTGATTTGCTCTGCTCTAAATCTACACTGACTTATTGTTTCTATCAAAATTATATAATGACAAACACTTCCTGATAGAGTAAGAAGCAAATGATAATTCACAGAGCCGAGAGGATACTGTAGAAATGGACAGTTATAGCAAAAAAGATATGAAAATTATACCAATGAAATCTATGGCATTGAGGAAGAACTGAGGAAATATGGAAATAATGAAATATTAAACTTGAATAAAATTATTTTTTTATTTTATATTTTTAAAATTGCATCTTTCTCTTTTAAATGTCCCAGAGAAACAGAATATGATCTACGTTAGTAAAACAGAATACAAACTGAATAGAAAGACCTAGAATGACAACTTGTGCCTGAAGTAGATAAACTGACAATAAAAAGAAAAGATTGCAATTAATAAAACCAAATAATCCATTTGAACTCATTGCAATAGCTCAAATGCATTAAAATATTTTTTAAAATTGGAAATCTACAAAGTATAAACTTCAAATACTTAAATACTAGCTTAAAATACGTTTTAGATAAGAGTTTCCTATTCCAGGCCTATTTAAACTCAATTATATTATATGGCTGCTAAAAGAAAAGAAAAGAAAAACTGATTGCACTACTTAAAGGCCATGGCATGATTTTTCATTTAAAAATTTTCAGGTGGATTTTTCTAAATATATGATATGTAATTTCGAAAGTACTTTTTAGCATGTAAAATGTTTCCTGAAATTGCCTTATTAGTAGGTGCTTTGGAACAATCCTACTGAGGAATAAAAAGTTGGGTAAAGTATAGAAAACAGTTACTTTTGAAGGCACCTGGTAACCAACAAGACAGCAAGGAATTACCAGGCCGGGACCTGGGGCAGGACAGAGGCCCAGGGAGGGTACCTACTGACTTTTGAAGGAAAAGCTGAGGCTGAGCCCTGTGGACACCTTTGCTCTGGACTGGGACACCCAGAGCTACACAACAGGCATAGGGGTGCACCTGAAGTAGGAGGTGCCGTCTATGAAATGTCTGAATCGCCTCCAACTCAGATGTGGATTAGGTGATGCCAAATAGTTATAAGTGTCTTGAGATGCCTACTAAAAGGAAATGTGACTCTTTCCGAAGAAATACATCATCAACTTATTTCTATAAGTAATTTTGCAAATGTAATATCCAAGGGTAATCAAAACAATCAGGCATTCAAGGAGATACATGAATGAAAATGAGCAGAAGCAAAAGAAAATAGAAATAGACTCAAAAGGATTCCAGACATTTCAATTATCAGACACTGACTTTGAGATAACTATGCTTGTTATGTCGAAAAGATAAAAGACTGAGAACTGACAGAGAACTAAAATTAATTTTTTAAAATAATAAATTGTTATGGGAATGAAAGATAGAACCCTTAAGTTCAAATATTTTTATAAAAAAATAAATTAAAAAAATTTGACTATACTTAATTTTTTCTAATTTTTGAGTAAACATCTTTTGATAACAACAGTTATTATTTACTAAGTGCTTATCATTTGCCTGATCCTGCTTAGAAGTTTCATACATCTTTATCTCATTTAATTTGTATAACATCAGAGAGGTTAAGTAACTTGCTTCAGGTCAGATGTTAAATAGCCAAGCTCGTATTCAAAACCCCATGCCTGTCTGATCCAAAACCTGCACTCTGTGGACTTGCCTCAAACAGAGATTCAAGTTTCCCTTAGCTAATCAAGGGGTCTCTTAATATATATATATATATATACACACTATATATATATATACTGGAAGATATCAAAAGAAGCATCAAACTGAAAAATCCAGGGCCAAACTTGCATATAGTAGATACTCTAAAAAGTGCCAGTTGTAGCCCTAGCTGGTTTGGCTCGGTAGATAGAGCGTTGGACTACAGACTGGAAGGTCTCAGGTTCGATTCTGGTCAAGGGCACATGCTCGGGTTGGGGGCTCGATGCCCAGTGGGGGACATACAGGAGGCAGCCAATCAATGATTCTCTCTCATCATTGATGTTTCTATCTCTCTCTCCCTCTTCCTTCCTCTCTGAAATCAATAAAAATATATATTTTTTAAAAGTGCCAGTTAATTTTCTGATGAGTCTAGAAATTAATCATATAGTTGTACAGTGAAGCAATAAAACTCTTCATTAGAGTTATTGCTAAAACTATATCTTTATAAAGAATTTCTATAACTTTAAGATTTATCCCATTTACCAATTCATAACTTTACTTCTCATGCCTTTATATGGATATATAAGACTTAAATGAGAGTACACACCTAATTAGTGACAGAGGGTGGACTAGAACCAGGCCTACTGATAACAAAGCTAGATTCTGATTATTATATCACACTGAAATTACATTTATGTGTAATAAATAATATGTATGTTTAGATGTGCATATAAATATACACACACCAAAATGAAAATTTATATAAAATTTTCAATTTGGTGTCCTGTAGCAAACTACATACATGTCCTTCTTTCTCCTCTACTTTTAGCAGCAGCAGCAGCAGCAAACAGCAAAAAGCCATTTGAAGAAGCCTAAGAAGGCATAGATCAGGCACAAGTATTCTTCCATGGGAAGAGCTTTCTCTGAACACACACACACTAAGTGCACAGGCTGTAGCCAGTCCTCTGCTTAATTCAGAAACAGAGTCCACTAGGAAAAATCTGCTTCACAAACCTTTGCAACAAGAAAGGACTCCTACTAACATTGCAATATGTAAGAAGGCAAGCCAATGAAGTCAATCTACTCTTTCAGAACTACATTCAGCTGGAGTAAATTTATGTATCTCATTCTTATAGATGATTAACAGACTATAAAGTTTCCCCATGTACTGCACTGTAAAGTTTCAGTTCTACAATGCCTATAGTTAACTGATTATGCAAATCTTTTTTTGTTTGGCTCCTCTGGTGTGAAAAGAAATTGGGCAAAAAAGCAAATGCAAAGATCCTGTTTTAAACAAAACTATTGTGCCTGACACTATAGGTACATGCCACCTATAAACAGACAGCAAAACAAAATGTAACAAAACAGCAAGCTGAGTACATTCTAAGTCTATACATGGCATAGCCAACTCCTTTAACTTTCCTTCCACAAATATTTGACGTCCACTATGGATTCTACGCTAGATATAGAGGACATTTAAATGTTAAAAAAATATATTTGATACAAACTAGAGAGGAAACCAAGATACAAAGGAAGTAGGAACAGCAAAACATATATCTACTAGTGTTCAGGGTGCCACAAGTACTGATACCCAGCACTTCCTGTTTTCTTTTTAGTCCTCACAACAAGCCAGCAAGTTAAATAGCCGCTGTCTCTTGGATGAAAAAACTGAGGCCAGAATATTGGTGCCCCCGCTCCCATATTCACATATTGAAACCTAACGTCTAATGTGATGGTATCAGGAGGGGATTAGGTCCTAAGGGCAGAGCCCTCGTGAATGGGCTAGTGCTCTTATGAGAGACCCAGAGACCTGTGTAGGAAGCAGCCCACCAGGGACCCAGGGAGCCACCAGCATGAACTTCCAGCCCAGAGGCCCCACAGGAGCAGCCTAAGCACCGAGCGCCAGCGGAAGTGGAGCCCCCACAGAGAAACCCCGCAGGGGTGGGCCCAGACACAGCACCACCATGGAGACAGGGCCACTGGGACTCCTGGAAACCTAAGTCCCTGCCCATGGGAGCAGGACTGCCCACTGGAAACAGGGTCTGAAAGGCAGGACCCATCTCCTACCAACCCCTAACCCCCAATCCCAGCGGGCCTGAAGGACTGGGAATTGAGGGGAAAGACTGGCTCAAGCTTAAGGTTTGGGGCTTAAAGAAGTAGTATGAGAGCAGTAGGGAGCAACTTACCTCAGAATGACTCATACCTTGAGTGTCACCCATATCTGATTTAGATATTGAAATGAGACTTTTATAATTATAAGGTGAAACATACCAGTACTATACCAACTGTTGGAGTCAAAGCTAACAAATGAAAGGATTGCACCTTTGTAAAAATGTCACCCACATAAACTTAAAAATTGAAATATATAATACTCACCTCTGGAGTTACCGTGAGCATCTGCTTTCACTGTGTTCAGTGATGAGTGAGCAAGAGAGGAATTTAATTTTAAATCAAGCTCTATGTGTATAATTTTCAGCTTTACCAAGAGTCCAACATATTTGAGTAATTTTAGTATAAAAACACTAAAATTAATTGAATAATGCCTTCTGAAATTGGGGGGAGGGGGGATGGGGGGTGGGACAGGGAGTATGTTACCTGCAGTAGTCTCCTTGCTTAGCAACCTTGGCCAGGGAGAAAATGCAGTCAATAGCTGCTAGGCGATGTACTGCTGTACACAAGGACTGATAATGTTCACTGAAATTCCTACAGAAGCAACAACAACAAGGTGAGCACAAATGATTTCTTAGCACCTTATTACCTAAGATAAGCTAAAACAAAATAAACAGTCATAACCAGCAGTTAAGAGAGATTAAAATTACATGGAACTACTTTCCCTACTTAATATAATAATTTGACTATTGAGACTTCTTTCTATTTCATTTGGACAGAATTGTATGTTTTTAAAACAGCTTCTATACAGAAATGTCTATTATTGACACCATAGTGCGCATTTTATCTCACCACCAGATGTTGCTCAATGATACCTGAAGTTAATAAAAATGGAAAATATTTTTGAGCTACTGTATGAAAGATATAATTCAATTTTTAAAGATGATGCAATTGAGATTACTCAATGTCCACAGCCTGTCTTCTAGAATAGACTTTTTGAGAGAGGGTCCCATTCATAAAATTGCTTCCAGTCTTGATTTCTTGCAATATTTTGATCAAAAGTAATATGACTAATGCACAAGTTACTATCTCAGTAAGAGACAAATACACTTGTAATAGCTGGTATTCAATCCTCTGATGTCAAGTTTGTGAATGTTTTAAATGACATCATATTCACACCATCTGGCACCTCAATTAGCAGTGCACATAACAATCAATGCTGTTCTCTAGTGGGAGCTCTAGCTGCAAATGCTCTTCACTACATTTCACCCAGTATTTTTTATTTTTAGATAAAAATTTTAATGTATTTTTCTCATTTTGAAAGTAATATATGTATCCTATATAATAGAGGAAATATGCAAATTGACCATCATGCCCTCACAAGATGGCTGCCTATGACCAGGCTGGCAGAGGGGTTAGTAAGGGTTAACCAAACGACTGAACAAGCAGGCTGTGTGGGGCAACCAGGCCCATGGGGGGATTAGTGAGGGACGACTAAACAACTGAACAGCAGGCTGCATAGGGTGACCAGGCCAGGAAAGGGACTATGAGGGGTGACCAGGCCAGCAGGGGGGCAGTTAGGGGCAACCAGGCCAGCAGAGAGAGCAGTTGGGGGTGACTAGGCCAGTGGGGAGGGAGGGGTATTTAGGGGTGACCAGGTCAGCAGAGGGGGGCAGTTGAGGGTGACCAGGCATGCAGGAAGGGAGACAGTTAGGAGTTATCAGGCTGGCAGGGGGGGCAGTTAGGGGCAATCAGGCTGGCACAGAGAGGTAATGAGGAGTGATCTGGCCAGTGGGGGAGAGGGGCAGTTAAGGGCAACCAGGCAGGCAGGCAGGCAAGTGATAAGGAGCCAGCAATCCAGGATTGTGAGAAGGATGTCCAATTGCCGGCAGTCAGATATCCCCCAAGGAGTCCCAGATTGGAGAGGGTGCAGGCTGGGCTGAGAGGACCCCCTTTCCATGCACAAATTTTGTGCACTGGGCCTCTAGTATTACATAAACTTCTGAAATTATTATGTAAAAAGTAAATTGAAATACTCAGAAACCTTTTCATTAGAAATAATCAGTTGATATTTGAGACTGTGTGTGTGTGTGTGTGTGTGTGTGTGTGAATAGACATTTCTCCAAAGGGGGGGGGGGGGAGAACTGGACAATAATCATATTAACATAAGCATATATATTTGATTTTTTTAAAGTATAAAGATTTAGATGCTGTGCATGAATGTGAATGTTCACATACAGAATTGTATCATACTTCAATACTGTTTTGCATCCTTCTCTTCACTTAATATGTCATGAGTATCATAATCTCCTGTTATGTCATATTTAATGTTGGCTCACTCTTGGCAGTTTCTCGCTTGCATCAGATGGTATAATGAAAGCAGATTCTCCTGGGTTACGTTGACAGAAGAGCCCAGGAAGAGAGCTGACAGAGTACAAAAGGTTTGGGGTCATCATTTGAGGTATTAATAGAAGGGAACAGGAGGAGCAGGGGCAAATCAAAGATATTTCAAAGGGAAAAAAGACAAACAGGAAATTGGTAAGAAATAAAAGGAGAAGGAAGAGAAGCAACTGAGGAGAAGGCTCATGTTTTTAACAGGGAGACTGAGTCTTCTCTAGTCTAGAATAATGACAGGAAGAACATAACCCGATTTATCAAGTCATGTATACCATGACTAGAATGAATATGACGTATGTCGCCAAATCCCAGAACCCTAGAATGTGGCCATGAAAGCTTGAAGGAAGTAATTTTAGTCTAATTTTCATATTCTCAGTGATACTACTAAGGGAAAAGCTAAGAGAACTGAGACTCAAAGGCCCTGAAACCCTTAAAATGGGAAATTGCAAGTAAATAGAGAAAGGAACTGAATAAACCAAATTGCTATTCCTGGATGCAAGACTCTGAGTCAAGATAACCTCCGAAGACTCAGGATAAGTAAATTAGAATCTCTTTCTGACCCTATAATTGAAGATTCCCCTGGGCAAAAAGGGACATAAACCTTTTAAAAACAGTCACAGAGTATCTCTTTGGTTCTTTTTCCCCCCTACTTGTCAGATTGGTTACTTTAAACATATAAAGTCCCTGGAGGAACTTACTGAATATTTGCTGTTGAAGTTTTTAAAGAGAAGGACTAAGAGATGTTTGTTTAGAGAGGTGCCTACGGATTGACCTTGGGCAGGCTTAACAGCCTGAGGGCAAAGGTACAGATGCTATCAGACACCCTGGCCTGAACCCGCGCTCCAATCCTTAACCTTAACCTCTAAGCTACTTCTTCTTTCTGCATCTCATTTTATTTGTTTATAAATTGGGGGTGATAAATCTTAGTTCACAGTGCTCTCTCTTGTGAGGAATAATGAGCTAGTATGTATTAAAGTGCTAGACAAGTGGTGGTTTAGAGGCAGCGCCTGCGGAATCATGAAAGTCATTCGTGCACATTTCTTCCCAGCTCCTGTCCACGGTAGCTTAAAATCAGTCATGGTGAAAATATTTACACTGCAGAAATCAGAAAATCCCATAAGTACCACTACTCTCCCAGGGAGCTGGCTGTTACCCATTTATCAACACACTACTGACTTCAATATGTCAGCATGAACAATGACTATTATCACATACTAGAGGCCCGGTGCACGAAATTCGTGCACGAGGGGAGGGGTGGTGGTGTCCCTCAGCCCAGCCTGCACCCTCTCCAATCTGGGATCCCTCTCACAATCCAGGACTGCTGGCTCCCAACTGCCTGCCTTCCTGATTGCTCCTAACCACTTCTGCCTACCAACCAGATCACCCCCTAACCACTCCCCTGCCAGCCTGTTTGCCCCCAACTTCCCTCCTCTGCTGGCCTAGTCACCCTTAACTGCCCTCCCCTGCAGGGTGGATCTTCCCCAACTGCTCTCCCTTGCAGGCTGGTGCCTCCCAACTGCCCTCCCCTGCTGGCCATCTTGTGGTGGCCATCTTGTGTCCACATGGGGGCAGGATCTTTGACCACATGGGGGCAGCCATCTTGTGTGTTGGAGTGATGGTCAATCTGCATATTACTCTTTTATTAGATAGGACTAGTAGCCCTGTGCACAATCTGTGAGCGAGTAGCTTGCTACTACTTGCCTCAGCTGGCTACCTGCCCACAGCCACTGGTAGCTCTCCGCTTCTTGAAGCTCACTGCCCCGCCTCCTGGTGCTTTCCACCCATTGCCCCGCCTTCCTGGGGCACCCCACCGAATCCTTTACCCATTCCCCCTCATAGTTTGCTGCCCTGACCCCTCCTATAGTTCTCTGCCCTCTGCTTGGAACTCACTGCCCCACCCTCCTGCTGACTGGTGATCTAGTGATCCAGTCATTACAAGTCAGTCGTTAGGCCTCAGAGCCTAATGGATAATTAGCATATTCCTCTCTTATTAAATAGGATTCTTTAAGACAACAGCAAATACTCTTCAAAAGAAATCTCGAATTATAAAAAACAAAAAGGTAGGGAACCTTTCTGTTTTCCACAATTCTAGATTCAAATACACTAATGAAATAACATAACCAAAAACAATGTATAAAAATTGATCTTTCATTTAAAATTTTGAGGGAGATAATTAAATATATTCTTTTTTTAACAATTTTTTTTTCATTTTATTTGAAATAATATGCAAGAATATAGTGTGCAAAATTTAGGGGCAACATCATGAAGTGTAATGAACTGAAATCAATTTTACAGCTGTGATTCCTAACTAGAAACACCACTTGGTAAGTAACATGAAAAGCCATGATTGTAGCTCAGAGCAAAGCAGCTGTACTGCCAATGTATGTGCTCTAATTTCAGACAGTTGGAGGAAAGTAAAGTGCAAGCATTGCACTGCAGTAAGTGCAAAGTCTGCCCCCACCATAAAGATATGATAACAAAATAACATATTTAAGATATGTAGCTAAGGAGATATAGATCACAAAGTTCAAAAATACAATGGTATCAACTGTTAATAGCACCATTTCAGTGACTATATCTCAATGCTATTGACTTCACCTTGGCCTGAGCTAGGTCTCCACTGGGAATGGATGGGAGTTGCCATAAATATATTCTTAAATTAATATTAATATCCTGCCCAGCTAGTGTGGCTCAGCAGTTGAGCACTGACCCAGGAACCAAAAGGTCACCACTTCAATTCCCAGTCAGGGCACAAGGCCAGGTTGCAGGCTTGATCCCCAGTGGAGGGCATGCAGGAAGCAGTTGATCAATGATGTTCCTCTCTCATCAATGTTTCTCTCTCTCTTCCTCTCTTCCCCACCCTCTAAAAAGTCAATAAAAACATGTTTTTAATTAATTTTAAAATATATTAATTTTTCTTAGGTGTGGTGATGGTATTAAGATTATATAGCAGCATATCCTTATTTTTAGAAAATGTGTGCTTAAATATTTAGGGGTGAAGTGTTATGATATCTAAAACTTACCTTCAAACATTTCAGGGGGAAAAAGTGTATGAGAGATTGAAGACAAATACAGCAAAAAGCTAACACTTTTAGGTTAAACTTCAGGGTACATAGGTATTCATTTCAACTATCCCACAGATTTAAATATTTTCAAAATAAAAAGTTAGGGGAGAAACAAAACAATTAACCCACACTTGTCCAATTCTGAAAATGTTAAGCCTTTATAGAAGAAAAGTAAACAAAGTTCAAGGTAGAATTTCAAAAAGATGACTCTACTAAACATCCTTAGCAACAAAATGTTAGCACACTAACAATAAAGTATATCTGGTCTCTCACCAAAGACTAAAATGAGCTTCCATTTCAATGGATTAAAAATAAAATCAGAGGACACATGTACTCAACTATTTTATGGCAGGTCACAAGCAGTAATCCCTACTTTTCTTTTTGATGGAAAGATTTTCCGGTCTATTTCTCATAGCAAAAAGTCAGATTATGTTTTTCATTGTAAACTCACTCTAGAAAATCAAGCCATTCAGCATTGCAGTCAAGGACTAGCTGCTCCCGGAGCTGATTCAGATGTCTGTAATTTTCTACAATAAAAGGAGAGTGGAAGCGGCTCACAGCTTTTGTGCTAGAAGAGGGGAAAACATAAATAGGAAATCAAGGTTACTAAAAAATCAGTAATGCCATCTCTTCACAAAATTAAAGTAGGTATTTATTATTCTCTGATGAACCTTGAAAGTAAATAGCTGTAAACAGAATATTCTGTAATTATGGCCCTGAACTCAATTGATTCCAAAGGTCTTTGTTGTAAATAAAGTACTTGGAGTTCACAGGACTTTGTTCAGGAAGCTTTTAAAATGCATTTTAAATTATATCCATATGGCAAAGTCAAAGTTTAGAGTTTTCATTTCATAAGCAGAAAGCTTTTTCTCTAAATGAAAATATTTGCTTTAAAAAAAAAAAAAAAAAAAAGATCAGAAGTAAATATGGCAAAATAAGTCCTGACAAAGATGGAAAGTGGATACATTGGTGAAGGCCATACTATTCTTTATATTTTATACTTTTCTGTGCCATTAAAGCATTTCCATGAAAAAATAAATAAATAAAGCGTTACAAAAATAGCAATGTATAAATTCAGGAAGCAAAGAGAAGTTCTTCATGGTCTAACTGTAGATGCATGGTGATCTTGATGAGAAGAAATATCCTGTACTCCTCCTCTAGGCTTGCGTGTATCTCTGCTTCTTCATCAAGAAGCTGTAGAGCACATTAGGGGATGTCGTGGGTCCCCAGTCAGAAAATTTGGGCCAAGGCCCCAACTCTGACACTTACTTGTTAGCTATACGACTTTGGGCAAATATAACTGACCTCTAACCATCACTTTCCTCATCTATAAAATGGGCATAATAATAGCATCTACCGTATTTTCCGGCGTATAAGACAACCCCCTAATTTTACAGTTAAAACATAGGTTTAGGCCTATATTCGCTGTATAAGACTACCCCCCACTTCCGAGGCAACACCAGTTCTTTTTTTAATAGACCCCTCTCTGACTCTGGCCAATCTGAGCAGGCTTTTTTTCGTTTCAAAAGTCGTCTTATACGCCGGAAAATACGGTACTTCACAGATACTGTTGAAAGATCAAATAGATAATGGTTAACAGTATCTCTGTCAGTAGTACCAATGTCAGGACTTGTTCTGTGGTGGTTGTGGCAGTGTTACTGCTGTTGATATTATTACTATAATCAGAGGCCCGGCGCACGAATTTGTGCACACATAGGTCCCTTGGCCTGGCCAGTATTGGGAGGCTGGCCAGCCGGGGGTAGGGAACACGGGAGGTTGGCTGTGGGACTGCACTGACCACCAGGTAAGCTCCTGCATTGAGCATCTGACCCCTGGTGGTCAGTGCGTGTCATAGTAACTGGTCAACAGGTTGTTCCAGTCATTTGGTCATAACAGTCACTTAGGCTTTTATATATAGAGATGAGACCCTCACAAAGAAAAGGTCAGGGTTCAGTGATAAGCAAGTGATGAAAGAATGTATTCTGACCTTCATCTGCTCCCCACTCCTGAAATACGCTGTCACAGTTATCTTTAATGTAGCAAGTTAGTGGATTACGGGTAACCCTTTCAGATTAAAATATTACTAATGCTACTTTAATCTAACCCTTGTCAGGACTCCAATGGCCAAACAATAGATAAAAAATTATAATGAAGCTTCCCCAAACTATCTTATTTATTCATCCAATTTACATCACAGCAGGTTCAAAAGTTGTTGGCACAAATTTATGCTTTGTCTGTTGCTTTTAAATTAGCTTATCTAGATTTCTATGCAAACATATTTATAATAGCTTTTCTTCTGACCAAATTTCAGTTACTGTTCTACAAAGACTAACATGATTTTTAGTCATTTCTCTTCATAAAGCATATTTCCGTTCATTAGCTGTAGTACAGGACAAAAGTAAATAAAGGAAAAAATGCCTGCAAGAAGAAAACAATACCCCCTAAAATTAACAATAGTCAAATCTCAATTACAGCTTCTGATAACATGGGGGGAGAAGGGGAAGAAAGATGGTATTTAGAGCTAAGAAACCCATAATTGTATCTTCAACATCCTTTGAAAGTGGCAATGGATAATAGGTGTTTTTTTTAATTAAAATACTAAATTAATAACCATCCACACATCAGGTCAAGATTTTCTTCCAGTCTTCACAGAGTTCCTTCATACCATCACCAGCTATAGCCCCTCTTCTACTATCTAAAGCAAATGTAACATTTCATCTCAAATTCAGGCAAGCATATTAATAACAGTAGCAATAAATATTCGCTAAAGTGTATCCTCATAGGGGACTAATCCTCCTGGGGATTAATGCCTAACCAAGGAGAAAATGCAGAATCTCAATGCAGTCCTCTAATTTCGTTCTTGATTAATTTAATTTCATCAACTCTCAATGTAATTCACAGAAAAGATGTAATGAACTATTACAACTATGTGCCATGGAAAGCATAGAGAACAAAGAAATGCAGAACTTGGGGAAGTAGAAAATGGGATCTCAGCTTCATAAAAGAAATGTCAGGTGTGGCATTCATCAAGAAGTTCAAGCAACCAAATTAATCTTATAATTGAAGGTCCCTCAACTTTTTTATCTCACATGTTTAAAGTGTATTCTGATATATAAAAATAAAAGAGCAATTTACAAAACAAGGAGACAAATGTTTTTACAAGTAAAATGCCGTTCGGAAAAATGTTTTAAAATTAATGATAAAAAAGAATGAAAAGTAAATTTTCTTTGGTTAAAGTTCCATTTAAAAAAAAAAAAAAAAAAAAGGTAAGAATTGCTTTTTAACCTGAACTGGTTTGGCTCAGTGGATAGAGCGCTGGCCTGCAGACTCAAAGGTCCCAGGTTTGATTCCAGTCAACAGCATGTACCTTGGTTACAGGCACATCTCCAGTAGGGGGTGTGCAGGAGGCACCTGAAGGATGTTCCTCTCTCATTGATGTTTCTAGCTCTCTATCGCTCTCCCTTCCTCTCTGTAAAAAAACCAATAACATATATTTTTTTAAAAAGAATTGCTTTTTATGAAAAGGATGTGGCTATTATCAGTCAGTAGCACACAGATATATAAATGTCATTTTAATTCATGTTAATAAAAAGATATATATTATCAAACCTACCTTCCAACCTTAATCCAATCAGTTGGTATACAAGCTACAGCAGAGTTCTTTACTTCAATCATAAACTAAAAAAATATATAAATAAAAATTAGATTTTTAAGTGACTAACCATTATATTTTAAAGCAATATATATATATATCTCCATACAATCAAATATTATTAATTGTGTTTCCAATATTGAAGATAAAGTACAATTTGTATTGAGCCATAAGTTTGTAACAAAGGAGATAATTTGACATGGTAATGTTTATAACATTGCTTTGTGCATACTATTATACAAATGATGATTTTTTTCTCATCAACAACCTACTTCGTTTATTAGTACCTACTTATGTTAGAAATTCTATTACTTAGTAAAAATACTTAATTTCTAAGTATAGATGTTCAATTATTGGATGTTATACAAGTTTGAGATATGGTCCTTCCCCTGTTCTGAACAGAAGAGGGTTTATTATAAAGCTTTTATCCAAGGGCCTGAGTTCTCTAAAAGTGTCCTCATGAAGAAAACACTGACTTCCCCAACTATTAAGGGAGATATTTCTCCCCAGGAGTGCTTTAAGTTATATAAAACACATCTTTATAGATCCAGCTGTGGTCTATAAGACGGCTTTTCTGAAATCAGCCAGGAAGCAAGTGAAATCAAGTTCTTCTCTCACACCTTTCATTTTTAGCATTCATTATATATCATCTTGTCTTCCTGTTCCCATGCCTGTATTATTGCAATGAAATTCGATGTTGTTGTTTTTTAAAATTTTTACTGATTTCAGAGAGTAAGGGAAAGGGAGATCAAGACATCAATGAAGAGAGAGAATCACTGATTGGCTGACTCCTGCATGCCTCCCACTGGGGATCAAGCCCACAACCTGGGCATGTACCCTAATTGGGAATCGAATTCATGACCTCCTGATTCATAGGGCGACATTCAACCACTGAATTACGTTGGCCAGCCTCAATGTTTTATTCAAATAAATAAACCTATTTTGTACAGGATGGAACCGGAAGCTCTGTGGCCACCACTAATTTTGAGATGGCTGTAGGAACTTTTTTACACTAATTAGTTTTATAATATTTGGGGTATTTATAATCTGCTTATTAACTAGAGGCCCAGTGCACAAAATCTGTACGTGGGTGGGGTCCCTAGGCCTGGCCACCAATCAGGGCCTTCCGGCTGCTGACTGAGAGGCCTTCCTTCCAGCTGCTGTCCAGGGCCTTTTTTCCCTGGCTGCCAGCTGGGTCTTCCTTCCCCGGCTGCTGGTTCGGGACTTCCTTCATTCCATGCTGCACCCTGGTGCTCAGCGCACGTCATAGCAAGCAATCGAACTCCTGATCTTCAGGACCAATTCCCACAGGGACACTTTGCATATTAGCCTTTTATACACACACACACACACACACACTAGTGGCCCAGTGCACAAAATTCATGCATGGGTTGGAAATTTATGCATTTCCAAGCTGAGACTGCTCGGGGGATGTCCAACTGCCGGTTTAGGCCTTATGGAATTGGGTCTAAACCAGCAGTTGGACATTCCTCTCACAATCTGGGGCCACTGGCTCCTAATCACTCACCTGCCTACCTACCTGATCGCCCCTAACCACTCTGCCTGTTAGCCTGCTCACCTCCAACCGCCACACACACACCCCGCTGGCCTTCTCACCCCGAACTACCCCCCTTGCCAGCCTGATCGCCCCCAACTGCCCCCCCCCGACCTGTCTGCTCACCCCCAACTGGTCCCCTGCTGGCCTGCTCGCCCCCATCTACCCTTTCCGCTGGCCTGATCATCCCCAACTATCCTCTCCTCCTGGCCTGATCGACCCTAACCACCTCTGCCTTGGCCCCACCACCATGGCCTTGTCTGGAAGGACATCCGGAAGGTCTCCCAGAATGTCTCTGGGTCTAATTGGCATATTACTTTTTTATTAGTATAGATATAGATAGTATCGGCCTGGCTCTTGAGTTTACTTTTTTAATAACAAAAATATTGTAGCTTTTACATCAATTATACTACCAATTAGTAGTCAACTTTAAGAATTTTTGTTCTTAGCAAAAAAAATGTTAACTAATTATGCCCTCTTGTTTAGAGAGGAATTAATAAGTTCAAATCTGCCAAACCTAGTTAACAGTTAAGAGTGAAGAGTCCAAAAATGTCCACTTTGGCTACAAAAAGTGAGGGGGGAAAAACATAAAATAAATACCATGGATAGGAATTATAAAATCTCTTTAAAACTATGCTAAAATATTCTGCTTAAATATTATTTCTAAATGTTCTATGAGAAGACATGTTGGTCTTTTGATAAAATAATTCTGGGAAGAGTTATTTATGCCAAAAACAAACCAAAAAATTTGGGAACATATTGGATCACTAACATTCAGGAAGCTCACATCTAGATCAAAATGACTAACACAGAGCTCCATGGCGAAGACGAAGGGTGGTAAAAATTTTGAAAAGAAGCCCAAACTCTTCAATGTGGTCACTGGCGGCCAGATAAGTACATAGTTTGAAGTAATTGGCCATGACAATGCTGGATTCAAATCTGTGTCTTATACACATTACAAATCCCTACTGGTCACAGCCCCTTGGAGCAGCTTATGAACAGTTTGGAGCAGAACCCTTCAGTCAGTACGTACCCAGGGTGTACCCTAAGGAGCACAGCCCCTCCAGCAAGCCACACACAGAACCAATACAGATGCAAGACAGAGTGGGAGTCAGGAGAGCCCACGTGATCCTGCCACTTGTTAAGCTCCTGGGCCACTTGCTCAGTAAGTGCTGATCCTGTCTCCTCACTTTCTCCAGTGGCCCCAGGTTTTCAGCTTGTGTTTCTCCTCAGAATTATCATCAAAATAAAGACCTGGTGCACGGACCTGTGCACAGGTGGGGTCCCTTGGCCTGGGGGATCAGGCCAAAACCGGCTCTCCAACATCCCCCAAGGGGTCCTGGATTGCAAGAGGGCAGTGATGCATCCCGGAATCGATCTCCTTCCTCTCTGGTTCTGGTTGTGTCACCTGAGAACTGCAGCTGCCAAGTCACCACAGCTTGGCAGCTCCTGCATTGAGTATCTGCCCCCTGGTGGTCAGTGTGCATCATAGCTACTAGTCGGATGGTCAGACAGTTGCTTAGACTTTTATTGATAGATAGATAGATAGATAGATAGATACTTTCAGAGTCAGAGACACTAAGGCACCATAGTCAAGAAGGCTTAGGGTTCTAAAGCGTATATAAAAACTGGGAACCGGTGAAAATGAATGTTGTCACAAGTAACCCTGGCTTGATAGTCTATTTACCTATTTAAGTGATAATAACAATATCCAAGTACCATTTGCACTGCTACAATATAAACAGGTTTATAAATATTATTACAAAAGTTATTGTACAGAAATAAAACTTCAGACAGAAAAGAAGAGTATGAAATTGAAGCACAAAAAAATAAAGTAAAATAAAGTAAAATAGAAGCACATGTATATAAAATAAGGGTTTTCCTCACTTTCTCCCTCACTGATCAGAAGTTATCATATTTGATGAAGACTGTTCTTAGTCCATTAACTATCTCAAAATGATTTGTTGATATACCTTTAACACAAATTTTTAACAAAATTTTATTAACAATGCCTACTAGACTTCATTTGGTGTTTATTTAGAATCACTAATTCTCAAAAATGTCATAGAAGTGATTCTACATTCATTTGTACTGTTAAAATTCTAATAGGAGGAGTTTTTAAAAACCAATGAGATTCTATCCAACTGTTAATAACTAAGAAATTTCTCACCTCAAATTAACCACTTAACCTAGTAAATCATTTTTCTACTACATATCTTTCATGAATGTTACTAAGCAATTTCGATCATCTCATTTCAATAAATAGCCAGAAGAGTGGCACTAAGGCCACTTGTCTCTTTGCAGGGTCATGACTGCGTGGTGAAACCAAGACGTACAATTAAATATTTGGTATTTGCCTATTCAATAATTGTTCTGTTATATAGAACTCCATGTGGATGCCCTGTAAAAGGTCTGCCTGAGTATAACAACTTAATAATTTTAGTCCAGAGGCTGACTTATTGTCTGCTAAGTGACGTAAGATTAATAAACATTCCTCCATGGGAATCTTTATCTTTTATTAAACGTAAGATCTAGAAGAGGCATGCCTCAAGACTCAGAACAGGACCAAAAGGTACAACCACACTTTTAAAAAAATTACTAGTTTTTCCAGGTTCTCATTCAAAATTATCAAACTTTAAACTGAAGTACACATACCAAAAGCACATTCTAAACAGCACCATAACCCATGGAAGTCTCACTAGCCTAGGATTGCACTGTCGTTTGCTTTGTTAGCACCCATACTCCTGACTTCAGAAGGAAGCCCTGCCATAGAATCACTGTGTGATCAACACGGGTGGTTCCCTCCGGTCATTCCGTTATCTGCAAACAGGGAGCCAAAGACTAACGCTCTCCCTGGATTTAGGGTAAATGAGTCCTGTAAGTCACAATTCACAGCCATCAGGGTTTTCTATCAATTCAACGGCTAACATTAAAGCACATGTATCATTAAGTTACATGGTTTTACCAAGTTGATCAACTACAGTAAATAAAAAAAAATACTAAAATAATTCTTATCAAAACAAAATAATATAACATATTTCTAAGGAACAAAACAGGAAATCTGAACAAAATAATGTTTTCATTCTATCCTCATATTTTTATTTTTATTTTTATTTTAAAACAGATTTTACAATAAAAATATTTTTGACATTACCTCCTGTCCTGATACTGTCACATATTGTGCGGAAGGATTTTTTAGTATTTTTCTTATTTCTTGCAAATGTATTTGGATCTTGTCAGTAACTTCTTGAATTTCATCCTTCCTCTTTTTTATTAAAGGGAAATCAGAAAGGTCTTTGAATAATTCCGTTTTATCCCCAATTCTAAAAAATAAAAAATGCAAATATATATATATATATTGAAGCATATCACTTATACCAGTTATCAATTATTTTTTGCAGCATGATATAAACCCAAAAGGTTGGAAGTCTGAAAAACTGCCACTAAATATTTATGGGTAAGTTTCTGAATTTCTTTGAAAACAAACAAAATCATCCTAACACCATTTTCATTTTGCTAGCTCATGATTCCAATGGTAAAAACCAATATGCACTGTTTGCCTAGTCAGGAAACAAATACAAACATAAATACTGTCAATTCCTCTTTCTTTTATGCAGAGTTCTTTGTGAGATGAATGTAAAAGGACTGCTTATTAAAGGATAACTTTGCTTGTCGTTTCTAAATATAAGGCCAGCCACCCCTGGATTTCTAGCAAATGAGTACAAGATGCCATGTGACACCCACTTTTGGATTAATAAACGGCTCTGTCTGGGTTTTTATATTTTCATCATCTGACACCTGAGTAAAAATTGCATCTATCCTAGAGGGTGAAGTGCCTAAATTTTAGATAGCAAAGTGTTACTTCTAGATGTAAAACAGCCTTCAGTATCCAACCACAATTCTAATTTCACATGCAACTTCTTCCATTACTTTTAGTGAAGTTTAAGAATCCACAAATCAAATGGCGAATGTATTAGGACAAGCAAATTAAAACCACCGCCACTGGAAGGGAAGAACTGAGTTTGCTACTCACTTGGCAGCTTGCTCGTTGAGGACCTTTAAGTAATGCTCCGCTGGGCAGAGGAGTTCAGGAATTTCTAAAATAAACGTCCGGAGCAGGTCTGACTGGACGTGGGAATTCACAGCCGGTATTAATGCTTGGAATTCTGACTTCAGGTGATAAAGGGTTTTGACAATCAAGAAGAACTCTTTGGTAGAACACTAAAAACAGAAATAGTTTTCACCCAGAAAGCATATAATACATGAAAATAAAATTTAATTTGTGATCTGCTTAAAGTTAGAGTCAGAATAAAAGAAAGCTTTAATTTATTTTATAAACTATATAATTAAAATAAAATACTACTGTTACCTTCTAAATGTCAATAGTTTTAACACTTTATACAATGATATTTTTAAACTATAAGGAAAATAATTTGAGACAGAAATAGTAAAGCCAATAGTTCCTCAACAGTCTTTCATTTTCAAATACACTGACCACATAGCAAAAATACAGTTAACAATGTCAAAAATATAAAGGACAATTCTGGGGAAATATCTATAAGACATATGAGAGATGAAGGACAAAATCTCCCAAATATATTGAGCTCTTACAAATTTTAAATGAGTAATCCAAAGAATAATGACTACATGAACTGACTATACAGCTCATAAAAAAAAAAAAATGTCCAATAAGCACATGATTAACCACACATATAATTAGGAAAAGCAAATTAAAAATAAAGGATAGCATTTTTCACTTATCAGGATGTCAAAAATTTAAAGCTTGATAATAACCAAATCATACAGAGTGTAAAAAAAATATATTTTTATAGACTATTCATAGAGAGATAACCTTTTTGAAGGACAATTTGACACATAATCATAATAAAAAAGTACACATATCCTTTGACTAAGCATTATACTTTTAAGAATTTAATTAAAATACTATAGCAAGTAGTGAAAAAATATATGTATCTGGATATTTATAGTAAATTGTTTATAATAACACTAAAAGGATAAATAAGAAACCAATATCCAGCAACTGAAATATTAGAAAAAACTCACAACAAGGTGTGAAACAGTTTAAAAATTCAGATATGTACATACTGATGTATAAATTGATATGGAACTCCATAATTTCAACATATATTAATTATACAAAGTAAAATTTCATTTGTGATTCTTTAGATTATATGCATTATTCTATAGAAATAAAAGTATAAATTAAAATTTTCTAAAAAGATATACATGTAATTTACTCTAGATAGTGGGTTTGTGAGAGTGGTAGAGGAAGACTTTTCACTTTCTTTCATACCCGTGTACACTACTGTAATGTTTTATATGAGCATGAATACTTTTTACACTTCTGAAAAAGAGAACGGGCTATTTAATTTCATGTGCATCTAATTTCACTCTATCTTAAAACTACGTCAAAGACTGCTTAAGAAGGCGTGACACCACAAGAATAACTAGGAGAAAAGACAACAGCAACAACATCACTTCTCAGCCTTCTGGCTGAGATCAAGTGCATCACATCTTAGAACAAGAATGTCAAACTCGCCGCATGCTTGTCTTAGACATTCTAGGTAAACAGATAAGTGGTACTGGACTTTGAAGACTCAACATATTTTCATCATAAGCTGGCCCTGAGGAAAACCAGGATCCAAGTTGAGATGCACCAAGAATCCTAAAATACTCAGAAAATGGTGGCACAACTTACCTTTGTAAGTGAAATTGGGGTGGGGATGAGGGAATAGGAAATGATTGATTGCAAGTGACTTAAGAAGTAATTAAATCCCTCAATCTCCTATTTCTCTCCCTGCCACTGGCAACTAACACTCTCCAACTCTACAGAAGACTAATTTAGTTTCTGGAGAAGTTAAAACATAGACTATCTTGAACCAGCTTCAGGCACTGTGAATAGTGACAAACTAAACACTGAGATTCCCAGTTGTCCCCCTCTACCTCCAGAATATTGTTAGCTAGTCAGGAGGCTGGAAGAGTATCTGGGGAATCTCACAAGCCCAAGAGGACAATTCTAAAGATACTATAATAGCTAAGATCTAGAAACAGCCCAAATGCCCATCAGTAGATGAGTGGATAAAAAAGCTGTGGTATATTTTTTTATCACAATAAAAAATGTGATAAAAGTAAAGCTGGAACACTATGCAGCTTTAAAAAGGAAGGATCTCTTATCCTTTGAGAAAGCATGGAGGGTCCTGGAGAGTATTATGCTAAGTGAAATAAGCCAGTCAGAGAAAGACAAATGTTACATGATCTCACTCATGTGGAATCTAATGAACAAAATAATCTAACACACTAAACAAGTCAGATCCAGAGGCAGTGGAAGCATGGAACAAACTGATGAATCTCAATGAGAAGGGAAGGGGGAGCAGGAAGAGAGGGGAGAGAATAACCAAAGAACTTATATGCAAAAATGCATTGCCCATTTCTCTGACGATTATTGATGTTGAACATCTTTTCATATATGTATTGGTCATCTGTATGTCTCTGGAGAGATATCCATCTATTCAGGTCCATGGCCCATTTTTAAGTGGAATGATTGTTTTTTGGTGTTGAGTTTTATAAGGTCTTTATAAATATTGGATATTAAGCCCTTATCATATGTGTCTTTGTCAAATATGTTCTCCCATCTGGTGGATTGTCTTTTCATTTTGTTGATGGTTTCCTTGATTGTGCAAAAACTTTTCAGTTTGGTGTGGTCCCATTTGTTTATTTTTCTTTTTGTTTCCCTTGCCCGAGGATATATATTAAAAATATATTGCTATGGGCCAAAACCGGTTTGGCTCAGTGGTAGAGCATTGGTATGCAGACTTAAAGGTCCCGGGTTCGATTCCGGTCAGGGGCATGTATGTTGGTTACAGGCACATCCCCGGTAGGGGGTGTGCAAGAGGCAGCTGGTCGATCTTTCTCTTTCATCGACGTTTCTAGCTCTCTATCTCTCTCCCTTCCTCTCTGTAAAAAAAAAAAAAAAAAAAAAAAAAAAAAAAAAAAAAAATCTATGGGAAATGTCCGAAATGTTACTGCCAATGTTTTCTTCTAAGATTTTATTTCAAGTATAACATTTAAGTTTTTAATCCATTTTTAAGTTTGTTCTTGTGTATGGTGTAAAAAGGTGGCTTAGTTTCCATTTTTGCATGGATCTGTCCAATTTTCCCAACACCGTTTATTGAACAAACTATCTTTACTCCATTGTATGTTTGTGCCCCCGAAGGAAAATAATTTGTAGCCTAGAGTTTTACATCCAAACTACCAAAAAAGTGAAAGTAGGAAGAAAAAAAAAGACATCAATGTCTCAAAACATTTCAATACCCTTTCTCAGAATGCTTCTGAGGATGTATTCCACCAAAAAGAAGGAAGAAACCAAGAGGAATACATGAAATACAAAAAACAGAAGATTCAATTCAAGGGAAATTAAGGGAATCTAAGAAAGGAGTTGTATAAGAAATCTAAGAAAAAGTTGTAATGAGAAAGGCATCTAGTCCAGGTTGGATCAGTTCAGAAGGCTAAAGAAAATTAAATTAAAATGTATTTGAGCTCTAGCTGGTTTGGCTCAGTGGATAGAGCGTCAGCCTGTGGACTGAAGAGTCCCGGGTTCGATTCAGTCAAGGGCACATGCCTGCATTGGGGGCTCAATCCCCAGTAGGGGGCGTGCAGGAGGCAGCCAATCAATGATTCTCTTTCATCATTGATGTTTCTATCTTTCTTTCCCTCTCCCTTCCTCTCTGAAATCAATAAAAATATATTTTTTAAAAAATATTTTATGAAAATAAATATCTTGAGGTAAAAGAGATTTAGGATTGAGTTAATGGTAAGTATACATAATAAGTAATACATATAAAATGGATTAACGCTAACAATATATTTTATGGTCATTACCAAGGCTTTTAGAATGCAGTTTCCCATTTGCCATGGACATGACCACAAAACATTTCCCCAATAGGTCTTTTTTTTTTTTTTTTCTGCTATGTTGATAGCACAACATTCAGCCTACTGGGAACATTAAAAAAACTTTTATTAAAAAAAGAATGTATTTTGAAAGACAACTATTAACTATAAGGAATGAAATTATGCAGACAAATAAGATGTTAGATCCAACTGAACAAAAGTTTAGTTAAAAGTGTAGCATGAAGCACCTTTCTCCAGAAAGGCCACTGTATGCTGGGAAAGATACATAAGGAAACTGGACTATTTGCATAAATGTGGAACCTAGAAGCTTTTTGGTCAATAGTCACTTGATACATTCTAACAAAGATGAAGGACTAGCCCGGCTGGTGTGGCTCAATGGTTGAATGTTGACCTATGAACCAGGAGGTCATGATTCCATTTTCTGTCAGGGCACGTGCCTAGAGTTGTGGGCTTGATCCCCAGTAGGGGGCATGCAGGAAGCAGCCAATCAATGATTCTCTTTCATCACTGATGTTTCTATCTCTTATCCTTCTTTTCTGGAATAAATAAAAATATATTTAATAGCCGAAACCGGTTTGGCTCAGTGGATAGAGCATTGGCCTTCGGACTGGAAGGTCCAGGTTTGATTCCAGTCAAGGGCATGTACCTTGGTTGCAGGCACATCCCCAGTAGGGAGTGTGCAGGAGGCAGCTGATCAATGTTTCTCTCTCATCAACATTTCTAACTCTCTATCCCTCTCTCTTCTTCTCTGTAAAAAATCAATAAAATATAAAATATATATCTAATAAAGAAAACCAAAAAAATGAAAGACTAAAAATAAACATTTTCAACATAATTTTTTAATGATAATCTACAGGACATTACTGCATGCTCATATATGATGTAAAGTTTAAGTCAACAACAGAAGCAGACTGAAAACCAGAAGCTCTTTCCATCAAGTCCTAAGTGCCCAAGGAAGATTGTTTTCAAGTATCTTTCAGCGGTTCTGAAAGAAAGCTGAGGATGCGGGGAAAGCTGAGGCAGAGGACAAGGCGGCTGCTCCCGCAGCCTCTCTGGTGCGGCCCCGTTCCCGGCAGCACACTGCCCTGTGGAGAGGTGAGCGCACTGCCACAGGGAGAGCGTCAGCACACTGCCCTGTGGAGAGGTGAGCGCACTGCCACAGGGAGAGCGTCAGCACACTGCCCTGTGGAGAGGTGAGCGCACTGCCACAGGGAGAGCGTCAGCACACTGCCCTGTGGAGAGGTGAGCGCACTGCCACAGGGAGAGCGTCAGCACACTGCTCTGTGGAGAGGTGAGCGCACTGCCACAGGGAGAGCGTCAGCACAGACCCGCAAGTGCAAACGCCGCGCATCCCAGGCCTGACGGGCCCCACCGAAGCTCCGCACTGGAAATCTGACTTCAGTTAGAATAGTCAGATAAACTATTCTAACATATATACAAAAGATTTTGGAATCACTGTCTCTCCAACATTTACTAAATGCTATTATCCTTTAAGTATACTCAAACCTTAGCAGTTATGTGTCACTTTCTTACAAAAAAAAGTTATTGAGTTTAAAAAAAAAAAAAAAAGTTAATTAGTTCCTGTGACTATCACAATTTTCTAAGATCTCAATTTTAAGTTCTATTAAGAGAAACGTTTATTTTATTTCAGGGTTAATCCATTTGAGATCCTCTATTATTATCATCATCATAAAAATACCTATTTATACCTATTCCATGGCACGTTACACACAGAAAGATGTAGCATTTTATGAATTTCACATAATTAAAACAGCCTGTACCTAGGATATCACTCACCATTTGGTGCATACAGCAGGTTTTTAGAGTACTCTAATGATAAAGAACAGACATGTGTTTGATGGCAGGTTCCAAGAGCCAGCTAACTATCCATAATAATTTGGCTTAAAGTATTTAACCTTCCTAATGATTTTGTTTGTTACTATATCGTTTCTAATCTTCACTTTTCAAACCAATCTTTATGCATATTAAATATTAAATATTAAAACAGCAACAAGGAACAGCTTCTGAATGGGTCATAAGTTCTTTGGTAAAGAACATTTGAAATTATTTTTTTAAAAAGTCATTCTTTCTCCACTGAATAACTTTAAAATCAATTAGATTCTATACTGTTGATCTCACTTATATAAGAAATCTAAAAACACAATAGCAACAACAACAAAAAAAAAACCAAACTCACAGATACAGAGAACAGATTGGTGGCTGCCAGTGGTGGAAGGCAACTGGCAGCGTGGCCAGGAGGCTGGGGCCGGCAAGCGGGTGGCGCCAGGCCGGCCAAAGCAGGTGACAGTGTCCCTCTCCCCCACAAACGCCCTGCCGGTTGCCCCACAGATCGGCCCTGATCACCGGCCAGGCCTGGGGACCCTATCTGCACAAATTTTGTGCAGCGGGTCTCTAGTTGTAAATAATGTTGCAATGAAAATAAAGATGTGTATATCTTTTCAAATTACTGTTTACATTTTCTTCAGATAAATACCCAGAAGTGGAATTAAAGGGTCATCCTGTAGTTCTATATTTTTGAGGAATCTTTATACTCTTTTCCATAGTGCCTCACTAATTTCAGACCTACCAACCGTACACAAAGGTTCTCTTTTGAGAACTTATAAGATCTACTATCCTAGCAACTTTTGAATATACAATACAGTATTGCTAACTACTGTCACCAGGCTGTACATTAATCTTCATCACTTATTTATTTTATAATTAGAAGTTTATCTTTTGATCATAAAGTGAATTATTTCCCTAAGTATGAAAAACCTGTCCTCTGGATCTATTTTTGTTCTTAAGTTTATGTTGTTCATTATATCCCACATATGAGTGAGATCGTGTGATATTTATCTTTCTCCAACTGGCTTATTTCACTTAGCATAATGCTCTCCAGTTCCATCCATGCTGTTGCAAATGATAAAAGTTCCCTTTATTTATAGCAGCATTGTTTTCCATTGTGTAGATGTACCACAGTTTTTAATCCACTCATCTGCTATCCGGCACTTAGTCTATTTCCAAATCTTATCTATTGCCATTGGTATTTTAATAGGGAGTGCATTGAATTTATACATTGCTTTTGGTAGTATGGACATTTTAATGATGTCGATTTTACCAATTCATCAACACAGTATGTTTTTCCATTTGTTTATGTCTTCCTCTATCTCTTTTTTTAATGTTCTATAGTTTTCCGAGTACAAGTCTTTCACCTCCTTGGTTAAATTTATTCCTAGGTATCTTAAATTTTTTTTTTTTTTTTTTTTTTTTGCAATGGTAAATGGGATTTTTTTAGTTTCTCTTTCTGTGAATTCATTATTGGTGTATAAAAAAGCCATAGATTTCTGAGTGTTAATTTTGTATCCTGCTACATTGCCGAATTCATTTATTACATTTAGTAGTTTTTTTATGGAGTCTTTGGGGTTTTCTATGTACAATATCATGTCATCTGTAAATAACTGTCCTGTCCTTTTTATGACTTAAACTGTAAAGCTTAAATAATAAAAATCAAAATAATGCTTTTAATTTACCTTCAATATCTAAACATGTTTGCGGACTAAACCACCACAAATATTATACAAGCAGATTTTCCCTTTAAGTCAAATAAGAAGCTATTCTAAGGTCAAAATAATCAGTCAACTCTTTTTAAAAGTAGCCAATTTAAATAAACTTCCTATTTTGATGATGGTCCACACGTTGAGGCTGAAACATAAAAATATCCTGTTTTATAACAGAAGAACCTGTGTGTTGTAGCAGTTAACAGAGGAAGGCAAATCATTTCTTACAATGCAAAAACTGGAATAATCTTAATTTGTGCAGTTAAAAATTTTTAGGATTCTCTCATGTTCTCTGCAACATTTTACAAAATACAGTAACACTAAAGCTCTGAGATGTTTTCTTTTAATATCTGATGTCCTCATGCTGAGGAACATTACTGATTTTAACAGAGTTGATTGTTTCACACTTACTTTTTTGTGATAAATGCTACAGACTCCTCTCTCTATGTCAGGCAATTTGTGTAGATGATTTTCTATCTGACCAAACACACTGGATTCAGAATGGAGAACTTCAGACACAGCATCCAGCCGAGCATTTATTTCCCTGTGAGAACAGGAAGAGCGGTTATGAGACGTGGCAGCAGTGAGAATGTGGACATCTCCCACTCTACAGCCCAGCTACAAAGGAGGCTTCTCCACATCACTGGTCCTTTCCTGACCATCATTTGAATCAAAAAGTAGGTACCGCCCTAAACGTTTGGCTCAGTGGATAGAGCATTGGCCTGCAGACTCAGGGTCCCAGATTTGATTCCAGTCAACGGCATGTATCTTGGTTGCAGGCACATACCCAATGGGGGGTATGCAGGAGGCAGCTGACTGATGTTTCTCTCTCATCAATGTTTCTAACTCTCTATCCCTCTCCCTTCCTCTCTGTAAAAAAAATCAATAAAATATATTAAATTTTAAAAAAGCAAGTACCCCACAAGAAGGGGCAGAGACAGGCTCATCAGGTTTTCCCTTCCTCCTGGGCAGACACAGAGACTGCACTTCTCAGCCTCCTCTCAAAATAGGTATGACCATGTACCCAATATCTAGCCAACGAACGCTGCTAGGAAGGATTACATCACTGCTAGCCTGGGCCCATAAAAACCTCCTGGTGTCCACTCTCTCCCCATCTGCCTATTGAACACTGAGCCTAGGGCAACCTTGCTGACTCCATTAGCCTGGGTCCACAAATGGAGCAAAAAACCCCCTCTAACCTCACATCCACTACCCGCTGGGCTTTACATTAACAAGAAGTAAACGTCTATTGTATTTACACCAGATTTATGTGCTACAACTGCTTGCATCACCTTGGCTACTCTAACAGGTCTATGATGGGCAACCAGATTTTCCTGCCTGAAATGACTGACCATCTCAGTCAAAAACAATTCATCCCATTAACCACATGCTTCCATAGAAGAAGTGGTGGTGGTGGGTAAACCAATCAACTGTTTGAGTGAACTGAGATTAGGCATATGGAACCCAAGCAAAGACTGGGAACAGCTACAGAAAACACAGCGGAACGACATCAAAAGACATGGGAGACCAGGGCCTCAGGATTCCTGTACCCTGTAGTGTGTAGACATTGGTAGATGGAATCCTGAGGCCCTGGTCTCCCATGTCTTTTGATGTCGTTCCGCTGTGTTTTCTGTAGCTGATGTATCACTTGGGAAGGAATGAGGAGGCCCGTCAACTTAAAATGGAAGCCTCACTAAATGTGTCTTCTATGCAATGTGGCCCACCCAGTCCCTATAAACACCAAAGGCCTACACCAGGTACATGGCCATATGTGATATTAAAACCTGACGTAAGTACACCTATCTAGTGGCTAGCAGGCCCTCAGTAAATGTTGTTTCGAATGAATGAATGAATGAATGAATGAGTAAGCAAATGAAAGAATTAACTGACATTTGGAGGGAAAGAGAGACATCAGCTCCTAAATGCACATTTGTTTATCAAAGTTATGTTGATATCACACACATTCACATGAAAGGGCAAACCTCGCATTAGAACCTGCCTAGATGACTGTTAAATTGAGTACTTTGCAATTAACTGAGTGCTATTATCTTTATTATCTTTATAGCTATCCTGTGAGGCCAGGCCTGCTCCTCATACAGAAACTAATTTCAGGTCTCATTTCTGCTCCGTTTTTCTCTGGCTGTAAAACAGGCATTTGTTTAGCATGAGAGAGCAGAACAAGCCAGAGCTCGGTAGACACAGATTGGCTCTTCCATTCTCACTGGGTGGCCTCTTAAATCCACGCATTTCCCTCCATGACACTAGTCTAAGTAAAAGATCACTACTCAGACTACTAAGACAGCCGCCTGCCTCCCTTCCCACATCCACTTCTGTCCCTTTTTCCAGCCCATTCTCGACACTGTACCCTGAGAGGTATTCCTAGAACCCAAATATGTCATGTCATACCTCTGCTTTAACCTCATCTAACACCTGCCATTAATCTTAGGTCCAAATGCAGAATCCTTAACTGACCTATAACTGATTCCTGCTTACCTCTCAAGTCTCACTTCAGAATACTTATCACTCCTTCCTCTCGCTGTGAACTTCCTTCAACATCTTGGTCACTCCAAATTCTCTAATGTCAGAGCTTTCAAGTTCACTGCTACCTATAGCTTAGAGTTTCTTTACCTCTTTCCTACAACCCGCAAGCTCCTAATCATCCTTCCTCTGAGAGGGCTTTCTAGATGCACCAGACAAGACTTAATCCTTTTCCGTACCACCCTCTACTTCTTTCCGTAGTGAAAATCATAACTGTATTTGCTCCCTCGCGGTCTCTTCCACTAGACCAGTGGTCGGCAAACTGGGGCTCACGAGCCACATGTGGCTCTTTGGCCCCTTGAGTTTTTAGCAAAGGCCAGCTTAGAGTACCCTAATTACAATAAGTTAATAACAATGCACCTACCTATATAGTTTAAGTTTAAAAAATTTGGCTCTCAAAAGAAATCTCAATCATTGTACTGTTGATATTTGGCTCTGTTGACTATTGAGTTTGCCGACCACTGCACTAGATTGTAAAGCTCAGTGAGAACAGGGGTCATATCTTCATTCCCACAGTTCTGGGATCACAATATGTGCTCAATAAATGGCTGCTGAATTCAATTCAACTTCAAAGACTACATATAAAGTAAAGCAAGATGAGGTAAAACATAAATAAATGAGAAGTTAAAATTTCTTTGCATAGGATTGTTGTGATAAAATAAACCAAAGTTTTACCCTAACATTTACCCAAAATGCTACACAGATATAAAGTTTTACTTTAATAACTCACTCCTGAATAAATGAAAGATGACATCAATTGGAATAGATTAAGATGATGCTACAGATGGTATGAGGACAGATAAAGTAAAGCCATCTGTGAATGTATAAGACAGCTGACAAAGATAGCTACTCTCTCAAAATTTATAAAGGTTGTCTGAGATATGAAAAGATAAAAGCAAAAAAACTTAATAAAAATCCAAATTATATTTATGAAGTCCACCAGAACATTCTTAAAAAATAGATATAAAACTGGCCCAAGGACTAAATAGGCAATTCTCTAAAGTGGACAGACAGACGGCCAAGAGACATATGAAAAAAATGCTCAAAGTCACTGATCATCAGAGAGGTGCAAATTAAAACAACTATGAGGTATTACCTCACACTTGTCAGAATGGCTACCATCAACAAATCAACAATTGACAAATGCTGGCCAGGATGTGGAAAAAAGGAAATCCAGGTACACTGCTGGTGGGAATGCAGACTGGTGCAGCCATTATGAAAAACGTATGGAATTTCCTCAAAAAGTTAAATATGGAACTGCCATTTGACCAGTGATCCCATTTCTAAGAATTTTTCCTAAGAAATCTGAAACTCCAATCAGAAAGAATATATGCACCCCAATGTTCATAGCAGCACAATTTACAATAGCTGAGGGGGGGGGGGGCGTTAATGGAGGGAAAAGGAGGACATATGTATGTAATACTTTCAGCAATAATTAAAAAAAAAAAAAGGCAAAACTGTAAATTAAGAATAGAGTTACCATAAGACCCAGAACACCCCCCCCCCCCTTTCTGGGTATCTACTAGAAAAATCTGCAAACACATATTTGTAAAGATATATATACCCCTATGTTTACTGCATTGTTCACGATGGCCAAGACATGGAAACAACCCAAGTGTGTTTTGGTGGATGACTGGATAAAGATGTGGTACATATCTATAATGGAATACTACTCAGCCATAAGCAAGGATGAAACATTGCCATTTTTGACAACATGGATGGATCTTGAGAGTATCATGCTCATTAAAATAAATCAGACAGAAAAGGACAAGAACCATATGGTTTCACTCATATGTAGGATATAAAATGGAAAGCGACAAATGAACAATCAAATCAAACAAACAAACTCACAGACACAGATAACAGTATGGTGGTTATCAGAGGGACAGGGAGATACGAGAACATGAAGAGGATAAAGGGGGTCAAATTATATGGTGACAGAAGGAGACTAGACTTTTGGTGTTGAGTACACAATACAATATACAAATGTATATTGTCGACCTAATACATTTAATTTTTTTAAAAAACCATGATACATTCTAAACGAATAAAGACACCTGAGTCATTTCATTCCATATGACAAAAACTACGGACTTGAGGTTCTGGGGATGACAAAGATTGTTTTTTACCACCAAAACCCCAAGGACTAAATGTGGGTGTCACTGGAGTCCTTCACATTTAAAAATGACTGGGTGATGACATTAGAATTTGTGTGGCTGTCACTGAGAAACTCAGTGCGTGACCTACAGCTATTGCCGTTGTAAGGGCGTGTGATGGACTCTGTACCTGCTGACTGCTATTCATGGAGATGCCTCTATAATTCTAACATAATATTATTTAGGGGGGAAATTAAAATGCAAACTGCTGAGAAGTTGGTCTTGTTGATCTAATTTCTTGCCCTAAAGACAGCTGATATAAAATGAATAAATTAAATTCAGACATTAGGACACTGGTCATGCAATATGGCTAAACCAACGACCTAAACAGATTCCTAGTAGAAACATGAATCATAAACCCTCTCCGAGGGCCTAAGATTCACTACCTGGTCTACCTAGCTTCACCTTTCACATAGGCCATTTATTCAATGAGTACTTAAAAAGAATAGCTGTAGAAGTAGTGGAAGATGGAAGGTGAAAGCGTGATATAAGAAGCTAGGAAGATAAGCAGGGACCTGGTCATGTGAGTAATGCAGACCACATAGTAGCTCTGAGTTTGTACTGAGAGCAATGGGAGCCCATGGCCAACGTTTGAAAGGACAAAGCAGCAATAGCAGAAAGACTGATTAGAAAGCCATTTCAGTAATCCAGGGGAGATGTTAATGATCTGAACTGGGTAGAGAATATAGGAATGAAAATACCTCATAGTTTCAAGAGATATTAATAATGTAAAATTAGTCCAGCTGGCAAGGCTCAGTGGTTGAGCATCAACCTATAAACCAAAAGGTCAGGGCACATGCCTAGGTTGCGGGCTCGATCCCCAATGGGTTGGGTAGGGGTGTGCAGAAGGCAGAGACTCAATGACCTTCTCTCATCACTGATGTTTCTATTTCCTCTCTCCCTCTCCCTTCTTCTCTGAAATCACAACACATAACTTATTTATAAAAACTTATGTAGCTTCGTTAAAGTAAAATCCAATCTCAGTAATCTAAGAGAATTATTTGAATCAGTCAGTAAGTGTAGGGCATCAAAGAGGTCACTTTATAAAGTAAAAGGTGGTGGGAGTGAAAAATCCTCTGAAACTTGAAACTTTTGGTCCTGGATTTAAGAATATGAAATTGTCTTGGAAGTTAAAATAAGCTAAAAATGTAAAGAAAACCTTAAGGGATTTAAGAGAATTCATGGATGATTGGCATTAATGGGGTCTTGGAGGACTTTGGAAGACCTGCCTTATATTACTAAGTTCCCTTGTCACCAGTTATTTGTTCTATGTTCTCACTAAAGAAGAAATCCTGGTTCTAAACTAACATGTGGCTGCCAATGTCAGAGACAGAATGTTAGCCTGGAGGACTGGGACCATGTGATATGCATGGCACCTATGTTAGTTTGGGGGAGGGGAACAAAAAAATGTATAACTGACCCACTGACTTAGTCAGCTGAATATCTTCTCAGAGAATTTCTTTGGAATAGGTTGAAGTGCCATTAAGATTTAAACGAATTCTTTTAAAGTGGAATTTGAACAATTAGAAAGATGAAAGTTTTACAATTATGACTTAAAATAAAAAAGAAAAGGAAAAGGGATTGTGTTTGTTACTGTCTACATACGTGCCAAGCTGGTTTAAAGTTCACACTTGAAAGCATCAGTGTTCAATGCCTGGCGTACTTATTTTCTCCAGCCTTTCTGGGAGAGCAGGATCCCAAGGGACACATAGTTCAGACGATAAAGAGCATACACCATGGTCTACTGAACTTATCTCAAGTTAATCCTCATTTTAGAAAACAAATTTAATGATAAAAATAAACATTTTTAATTCACATGCAAACTTCTACTAATGAGTCTGTTTCTGATGAATATTTTTTTAAATATATTTTATTGATTTTTTTTTTATAGAGAGGGAGAGAGATAGAGAAACATCAATGAGAGAGAAACATCGATCAGCTGCCTCCTGCACACCCTCCATTGGGAATGTGCCCACAACCAAAGTACATGCCCTTGACCGGAATCAAACCTGGGACCCTTCAATCGGCAGACCAATGCTCTATCCACTGAGCCAAACCAGTTAGGACTGTTTCTGATGAATATTTTAACCAAGCAAGTAAAATACTAAAAACTGCTGTGGATGCTTAGGCAGATACCTTTCCATTACCCAGGATTCAACACCCTTTAGGGGCTGTCCCGCACACTGTCCGCAGAAGGCAGTCTTGTCTGCTCTTGCTCCACAAGGTATCCTTATAGCATTTGAATACTGAACCCATGTAGATAGTTTCACTTTCAGAATTCTTCTTTATCTAGTCAGCTTCCCCTGTCTGAAGGTCTTTATGGTCAGGAAGGGAAATTGAAATAACCACTAAAAGCTGAAGCAATCTGGTAACCATCATCAAAACAATTAAAACTTACTACTACTGTGTTTCCCCGAAAATAAGACATCCTCCGAAAATAAGACCTAGCACATGGAAAGATAAGGCATCCCCTGAAAATAAGACCTAGCACAACTTTGGGAGAAAAAATTAATATAAGACACTGTCTTATTTTCGGGGAAACAGGGTAACTTAAACCAGCCAATAAGTCTGCTTACCTGAATGTGTTCTGCAGAAATTTAGAGAAAACTAGCAATAGTAAAGCCATGTTACGAGCCTTAAAGACACTGAAGTCATTAAGGCCCCTGAAAATGGCTATAAGAAGTTAAAAAAATAATAATAAAAAGTGTCTGGTATCCTTTTTTCAAGATGACTATTTACTAAGCACAGCACAAGATGTAGCCAACAGTGAGGCCATCATGCAGTTTAAAAGAAATGTACACATAAAGCCTCTAACGCAGTGCTTGGTATGTAGTAAAGGTGCCCCTAGTTACTCATTCTACTGTCCTAAACGTCTTACACCTGACCTCTTTTCAGAGTACTGATACTAACTCAGCTCAGGTCCTCAGAACCTCTCCATGTACTTGGTAACTTGCCCCACAACCACCACTTTGTCCCCTCCTACACACAAAACCAGCTCTGACCCTGTCGCTCCCATGCTTAGAATCACTGGATTAACTTCCTCTGGCCACCAACTCCTCAGCCTCGCCTGCAAAGCCCTCTACAAAAGGCAGCACCCCATCTCTTCAACCCCGTTCCTCCTTACCCCCTTCTGCTACTGACGGCCCAAACTAACTCATAACCCACCTTCCCCAACATACCCTGTGTCCTCCAATCTGCAAGCAGACTCATTCTTGGGGACAAGGAAAAAATCCTCACAATATCTATGGCCAGATACAAAATAAAATCTTCCCCAATTTAAAGTTGTGTTCTTATATGTCACAGTAATTTTGTTTTTAAGGAGGCCAACATACCTTTACTTTCACTACTATATGTAATTTCAGATTAAACACAATCAAAAAATTCCCTTTACCTTAAATTAAGTAGCGGCTGAGTCACCCACTTCTTTAACTTCCGTCTCCCAAATGAAGTTTTAGTATGGTCCAAAACCCAAAATAAACTTCCTTTGCTTTTCATGTCAGTCTGAGAAAGACCAGAAAACAAGTTTTATTAACTAGATAATTGTATTGGTACCAAAATTGCTAGTTGACCAGGTGCCGTAGTTATTCCGTGGATCAACGGAATGTAACAATATTCAATGTTACATATGCCTGGCATAAAGTGTGGCTCATAACAAGTGTTCATTTAATGTTTGATCAGTGAACATGTGTGTATACATGCACACACACACACACAACACAAACATACATATATATATACACATACAATATACCAAAAGTATTGATATTTTGCACAGAAAAGAGATAATCTGTGTTGTTTTTGGTTAACTAAGAATAAATTATTCAGAAATCTCTTTTGAATTATATATTTGTCCTAAGCATCTTAAAAATATAATAATATCAATATATCTTACTGCCTTGGGAAATACAATTTGCCTTTGGAAATTCAGTATCTCCCACAGCATCGGAATTACTGTTCTAAAGACCAATGCTCTCAAAACAGCACTGAAGGAGTAGAAGGTACTGGAGATGGATGTGAACTTGCACTGCCCTCCCGTAATTTATCCTGGAAGGGCTCTATTTTGGTCTGTTTTATTAAATCCTTAGTAAAAGTTTACCTATCTATACTTTTCTATTTCAAAGTTGAGTCATAAAAATTTCACAACTAACTAGAGATGATGGTTTATCCTAACCAAGTTTTCACTGTATTACAAAAAAAAAATAAAAAAAAAAATCTATTAACAGATTAAATCTTCTTTGGAACATAAAATTGCAGTTTTCACCTGAGTGGTTTTATTTTAACTTTTTCCTTTTTTCTTCAAATCATCAAGCAGGAACTTACAGAAAACCTCCCCAGTGTACTCAGTTGTGTGATTGACAAAAGTATTTTAAATCCCTCAGGTCACTTAAATCCAAGTTTGGGGGGAAAAGACTCATAACTAGGACCCAATGCCACCTGGCAGAAAGAAACTCTAAAAGGTATCACATAAGCTCCCTGGGCCTTAGGAGTGAAGCAGAGCACAGAGCAGCTTCAGGGTCACAGAGGCTCCTGAGGATGGAGCTGGACACTGGCCCACAGAGGGGGCTGGTCCCATCAGCAACAGCACCACCAAGGAGACAAGAGCCTGACTGGCCTGCCTGCAGTAAAGGGTCCCAGGATGAGGATAGTGGAGGTGAAACAAGTTCCAGATATCTGGCATCACTGGAAAAGCAAGCTCAGGAGAGGGAGGGGTGGGCAAACACAAGTCCTGTTACACCGCTCTCTCCCTCACACTGGCCCCTCCTCATTGCCCCTTCCTTGCTCATCTGTAAGGAAGGCCAAGGCTGAAGTGCAAAGACACGCAGATGTTCATTCTCAGCTTCTGTTCTACAAGGGCTCAAGTCTTGACAATGGAAGGATTTTTAAAGGGTATTTTGGTTACAAATGATTTTTGCCTTAGCAAATGATTTCAGAACTGACTCCACAGAGTAGTAGGACTGGGACAGGGAGGATTTGGCAGAATAAGGACAACTTGGGACGCTGGGCTGTGTGTGCAGACACTGACTGTGAGCTCTTCTTCATCCAAGAAAAGTCCTTTCATTCCTACTACTTCTTTCCTATCCTGGGATGTATACAGAGTTGATGAGAAAGACTTGTGAGAAAGATTCTCACTTCTGGATAAATGAAATGAATGACAAAATAAAAATGTTATTGAATGGAAACAAGGTGGACTCTAGTATACACATTTAGTTTGAAAGGGGGAGAAACTAAATTAAAAAATTTAGTTAGTAATATACAAACCTAGGAGTCAGGAGAATAAATTTGATATTTACTATTATTCACAACAGTAGCTAATGCTTCTGAACAGCTTTAAACCATTTGACTCAGATGGTTCAGTCTTCACTACTTACTCAAATGACTTGAAACTTCTTATTTCTGTGACTTTTTTATGATAACATTAATTTTATAACATATCACCTCACATTACCATGTGCCAATTTAATAATAAATGAAAGTAATAATTTTAATGGCTCCATTATCTTCCTAATTCATCAACAAACAGCAAATAAATGATGAAAAATTGTAAAGGGAATTATTACGCATCTTACAGTCTAATTGAATATCACAGTAACTTGTTTTATATGCTATATAAAAAATAAGACTGCAAACATTTCAAGAAAAAGTTAAATGTAGAAAAATATAATCAAGCAGACAAAAAAAATCTTCATATGAATTTTCAAAAATGATGTTCTTCCAAATAAATATGATACAGAAATTATCTGAATTAGCATGTTACTTGAATCATTAAAAAAAGACAGCTGTATAGTTTCCTAAGTAGCCCTACAGAAGTATTTCTTATACTATATTTAATTCTCCAAAAAGCAGTCCAACAATTATCAACTAATAAATAGATAACAGGACAAGCAGAGCAGTCAGTTGAAGACAATATTGTTGCTTTCAACTATATTCCTAAGAATACTACCTTATTCCAAATTTTGTTTTTCAAAACCATTTGAAACAACTAGCCCTTATGTTTACCTGACCTGATTCTGTAGGATTTCAAGATTCCTTAATGTTGTTCCATTAATTGTCATAAATTCCATTGCACTTGACAACTGTTTAAATTTCCTGTAAAAGAACAAAATATGAATCTTGATGTAAGTGCATAAAGAACTAAGGTAAGCTCTAGAAATATTCCAGTGACTTTATGACAAAAGTTAGCTCTTTGGTAGAGAATCAAATCAGAAGGAGCTAAAAGAGTATTTACTGGATTATTGTCTCCCATTGATGCTGGTGTCATTAAAAAGGTTGGTGGCAAAATAAGGACAGTTGCTCTCAAACCAAACACAAGAACAAGGAAGGAAAGTAAGTGTTACAAACCACTTTTTAATATATTTCCAGAAACAGGACTAAACATAGTCTTTTATCATTGGCAGAGCATGTGGTGGTATGGTATCTTCAGGAAACAACTATGCAATTAGCTTAAAAAATATGTCAAGATACTTAAAAAACATCCTTCTTATTCATTAGCATGAGATCATCTTGATAAACCCTTGAACAGATTTTAATCAACATTCTGATACATGCAACAAATGTTATTTATTCTCTAATTAACAATGCACACTAATGTGGCTGTTTTAATAGAGTATAAAATTGAAAAAGTTGCAGAAAATATTTCCTTAAGCTCAAAGAATTCATATTCTCCTTATGTACCTGTTACTACTTCAAACTAAATAAGAAGTTCAATAAATTTCAAATAGACTTGAGTATTGAGTTGCAATATGATGAATAAATGTATGCACAATTCCAATTTTGTCTTTACTAGTCTTTCATGTTAAAAAGTATACTAATCAATGCATTACTGATACAGGATTCAATGTCGTTTATAAGCCAGTCAGTCCTTTGACATTTATGTCAATAGCACTTACAGATTTGGTGGCTTAAAGGCAAGAAACAGCATGGCAAGGTCACTAAACTATTTGGAGGGAGAGCATGAGTGTTTCCATCATAGCTGTAACAAGATTTAAATAAAACCCAGTTTCCCAAGCCAGTTATGGAAACAAGCCCTCATCCAGGAATCTAGAGCCTAAAATCAAAGCCAGCATTCATTGAAAGATGCCTCCACTTCTAGATGACTCCTCAGCTAAAGCTCCAGAGCCCTGACAAAGAAATAACGTACTGCACATTAGGAATGTTGCCTAGTAACTGAATGCTGTCCTTTGGCAGTGTAATTCATCTGCGACAGATTTGACCTAGCTTCCAAAGAATGATAACTTGTTAATAATTTTTAGAGGGAAGTAACTCCAGCACTGATGGATATCAGATGTATGTAGCCCTTTCTCTCCTTCATATAGCAGGTAGTCATTCAGTAATGTAATTACAATAATTTATGTTCTTGGGCAGTCCGCATTAATAGGTTTTTGGCCCGCCTCTGCGGCTCAGAGGCTGAGTATCAACCTATGAACCAGGAGGTCACGGTTCAATTTCCAGTCACGGCACATGCCTGGGTTGCAGGCTTGATCCCCAGTGGGAAGCATACAGGAAGCAGCCAATCAATGATTCTCTCTCATCACTGATGTTTCTATCTCTCTCTCTCTAGCCTTTCTTATCTGAAATAAATAAAAATCTAAAACATAGATCTTAGCTCCTTGGAGGCAAGGATTATTGATATCACATAATTTGTAGCACCTGCAGGGCCTAGCAGAAAGTAGATGCTCAACAAATATTTGCCATCTTCCTATAGGGAAGCCAGTGTGTTTTCCTTTGCTCAGAAATGTCTGTGAACACCCAAGGTCAGTAATAAAATGTAAAACATTTTCAGGAAGAAACAATTGGGCAGTGGTTGGCTCTGAAGCTGACAGGTGTTAATACAGCTTCCTGGTTAAAAAAAAAAAAAAAAATCCAAGCTGGAAGCATTAATAGGCTGGACTCAGAGTTAGTATCTAATCAGTGCCCATGTGTTTAGATATGTCATTCCTCTGTTCACAAAAGTTAGGTTTAATCTACACCAGTCAACACTTGCACACTTTAATCAGACAGAGTCTAGAGGGTGCTTAGCTGGCATGAAAGACTAATCAAGAACCCACAATCTACCAACCTTTCCTTAAAACATCTTGGCAAGCTGCCTTTATCTCCCGTTAACGTCGGAAGTGTAAAGTAAAATTAGTGGCATTGAAGATGTGTGGACTGTCCAGAAATACTGTCTGTTCAGTTGCCTTCACCTTCACAAGAACTTGTACACCCAACAGTCCATACCCTAAAGAATGGTGTCTTAGGTTTAGGATTCCAAAAGCATCCCGTTCCACCAATCATCAGAGGGTCCTGTCACCTAACACCAACTAAAACTGAAATCCTGCTCCTCCTATGCCTCAACTGAGCCTTTGAAGGAAGAACATTGAGAAGACAGATTAGAATTTCAAGATGCTCATAGAAGAGTTTGCATGACTGCGCTCTGTACCTGCTTGCTAAAAAGTATCTATATGTGTAGCAGAATTTTGTTTGAACTAACATACAACCAGGGAGAGAGAGGGTTGGGGAGGAGGCTTAAATCCCTCACCTTCATATAATTACTGGGCCTCCTACTATCTACCAGTAACTGTGAACCAAACTGGCTTATGTTAGCTCTTTTTACTGTGCTTCATAGATCTGCATATACAGTATTAAAAATTGATGGCAAGATCCTTCACCTGCAAATGATTACGGCTCACTTTAAAATAATATAATACTTGCTGCCCTAGCCTATTTGGCTCAGTGGATAGAGCATCGCCTGCAGACTGAAGAGTTGCAGGTTCAAAGAGCAATGCCTGGGTTGCGGGCTCGATCCCTCGTAGGGGATATACAGAAGGAAGCCTATCAATGATTCTCTCTCATCACTGATGTTTCTCTCTCTCTCCCTCTCCCTTCCTCTTTGAAATCAATAAAGGTATATATTTAAAATAATACTTGTTTTACTGCAGTGGTTTGGAACCAAAACCACAGTATCTCTAAGGACTGCCTGTACAGGTTCTTTTTTAATTTAACAGTGTTTTGTGTGTGTATGGGGTGGGGGGAGGTTTTTTTGTTTGTTTTGGTTTTTGCCATTAGTGAACAAGTTATCTAGACCTCCAAGTAGATGCTGGGAGAAGCAGGGTTTCTTTAAACTTGACATCTGCATTGATTTTTAATAAAAGATCAACCATGGGACAATATTAAACTAAACTGGCCCTATGGAACAATAATTATCAAACAATTGTAAGAACCAATTTTGCTGCTGGTTTTCCCAAATGTTTGGTTGATAATATGTTCTGGAGTTGGGGGAAATTTTCCTTATGTCAGTCCTATTTCCACTGGAAATTATACACACTTTTGAACTAAGGGTTGAATCTGCCAACATCCATAGGAATTCAACGATATGATTAATGCTCTGAAATACTAACAAAAAATAAAATTCTGAATTATTTATCCTTTTCGAAGAAGCTAAATTTCATCTGCTTTGAAATGAATCTCATAAATAATTCCTGGCTACGGTTCCTGCTGTGTGAACCTGGATAGAAATATTATAAACTAACATGGGAACATATTTCATTAATATTTAAGACAACAAAAATGCAAAGGATGCTTTTGTTTCCTCAAGTTTTAAAATGGAAAAAAAATATACTTGCTTCTAATTTGCCACAGAAATTTAAGACACTATACCATTACTAAACTACTTTTAAAAAATCTTCCTGAATTAGAGAGAGGCAATAAGGGTACAGAACGTATCTGAAAGGTCAACCCCTTCAAAGATCCTATTTAAATATATTTTAAAATGAAAACAAAGAAAAAAATCTATCATGTTACATATTAAATCAATAGAGAAAAATAGTTCTCTATGTACAGTTTTCAGAGGTCATACATTTACCATTTGCCTAATCTTTGCATATTTAATTTAATTAATATAGATTTAATTTTATAAAATTATTACAAATTTTAATTATTACAAAGTGTGTTCTATTACAACATTTGCTTTACTGTAGATTCACTTCTACTTGATTTGCGATTAAACAAAATAAATATCTCTGCATTCCTAAATGTTTCCAATAAGCATATTAGACAGGCAAATAAAAAGAAAGGCGTATAACGGTTCCCAAAAGACTGCTAGGTTCAATGACTCACTAGAAGGATGCACAGGACTCAGGAAATATTCATTCGGCTCTGATTTATTACAGTGAAAGGACATAAAGCAAAATTTGCTCTATCTAATAAAGCCTCATTTAATCCATCCATAAGAACAATTCCTAAAATGGTTTATTTTCCTCCAAAAGCCTTTGTAAATGCACAAAGACCTTTAAAGAAATGTATGTCAAGATTTTAATGAGCCGGGACCGGTTTGGCTCAGTGGATAGAGCGTCGGCCTGCGGACTGAAGGGTCCCAGGTTCGATTCCGGGCAAGGGCATGTACCTTGGTTGCGGGCACATCCCCGGTGGAGGGTGTGCAAGAGGCAGCTGATCGATGATTCTCTCTCATCGATGTTTCTAACTCTCTATCTCTCTCTCTTCCTCTCTGTGAAAAATCAATAAAATATATTTAAAAAAAAAAAAAAAAGATTTTAATGAAATATGCAGCAACCTTTGTGAAAGCATTTGCAAAACAACACAACTGAATGTCCCCCAATCACATGACTCCTAAACTAAATATAATCCTACCTCAACTGCTGAGCTTTTAAAGCAATAGGACTGAATTTTAAATAAGAATGAGAACATGCACGTTTTTCCAAAGTAATCCCTTTGAGAGGCTACGTTCTTTTTCCAAGATATAAAAACTGTGGAATTACACTTTGGAAACTACATTCTGAGCCAATTCACATGCCACCTGTAAAATATCATTACTCCCATTTCATTTTTAAGCAAAAACAATGGTACCAGTTTGATCTTTATTCATTAATCTTGGCTCCCAAAAACATTTTTCTGCAATTTCAAATCAAATCCATACTCCCAGGTTAAAGAATTCCTTCCTTCTCTCTTTTTCACTAATCCTGTATTTACTGACTGCCTACTAAGTGCTGGACATATGTTGGGTGATATACAATGTGAGGGCCTGCATTTTGGACTTCTTTGTGTCTTTATTTTGTCTTACTCTATGGGAATGAGAGGAAATGGTTACCCAAGAGGCAGATGAGCCACATACTAAGTCCCTAGCAGATCCAGTTCCCTGGCCACTCCCCAACATCACCACCCGATGTAAGTTCAGCTGCACTCCATCTATCAAGTCAGGTAATTTTAAAATAAGCTATTTTAATTTTAGTACAAATAAACATTTTAGTATTATTTTTACCTGGAATTACACATAAGGAGGGCACAATAATGTTTTCAGATCCAAATTTATCTACTTCTATACACAGGAGAGCCTGATTTTAGAAAAAGTCAGTTTTCTTATTTCAATAGTAATACTTCATTGCTGGTGATGTAGAGAGAAAAACAAATCTTTTTTTTTTTTTTTTTTTTGGCGGGGGTAGGGGGTAAGGCTTTTATCTAGTTTTTTATTTTTTCAATTACAGTTTACATTCAATATCATTGTGTATTAGTTTTGGGTGTACAGCATAGTGGTTAGACAATCATATACTTTACAGAGTGTCGTTCTCCCCTCCCCCCAATATTTTCAGTACAGTACTCGGCTGGTAATGGGAAAGCTATGTCACTAGTCCTACCTCAGTGAGGGGCTCCCTAACAGAAACAAGTCAAATGGCAGATAGCCTGTCATCCTTTTCTTATGGGATCCAACACCACCAACCATACAGAGTGATCTCTGGTGGAGCCCATGAGGTATAATGCCAGGCTACTATTTTTTTTTTTTTTAATAAAACACTTCAGCCGCACTAAAACATATGTAGATTAATATTGTACCCAGATTAAAAAAGAAACATAAAGCAGAACTCCTCTGGGCCATTTCCCCACCGACCTCTATGGTTTCCCTCGAGCCCCATTCTTCTGAATTTGTTGTTGCTCATTCCCATGCATGTCTTTCTACTTCTCAATATATGTACGTATTCTACTACTGTTTCACATGTTCCTAACTTCACATATTGACCTATCGGGTGTACTCTTCAGCAATTCGACTTTTGGCTTAATATAATGCTAATAAAAAATATTTTAGTACTGACACATGAATCTCTAGTCCAGTGGTTCTCAACCTTCCCAACGCTGCGACCCTTTAATACAGTTCCTCATGTTGTGGTGACCCCCAACCATAAAATTATTTTCGTTGCTACTTCATAACTGTAATTTTGCTACTGTTGATGAATCGTAATGTAAGTATCTGTGTTTTCCAATGGTCTTGGGCTCTACAGCAGCGGTTCTCAATGTGTAGGTCGCGACAGTAGCAAAATTACAGTGATGAAGTAGCAACAAAAATAATTTTATGGTTGGGGGTCACCACAACATGAGGAACTGTATTAAAGGGTCGCAGCATTAGGAAGGTTGAGAACCACTGCTCTAGTCCGTTCATTTTCATTGCTGTATTACATTACAGTGCAGGAATATAACACAATGAACCCACGCTGCTGTTGATGGACATTTAGGCTGCTTTTAATCAGGACAAAACTATTTACAGAAAAATGATATTCTGTTCTATCCTAAATGCCACACACTGGAAGACACACCAAACAAAAGACATCACAAAAAGAAAGTGGATTCTTCCACTCTCTCCAGTAAACTCAAACTAGCACCACCTCTTTGTCCCTCAATTCATACTCAGCCATTTTACTAAGATCGCTCCATCGGTCCCCCCACCTCTGCAGGGCTGAAAGCAGCTTACTTAACCTGGATCAATATGAGCGAGGGTAATTCTTTACCAAGCCAAAGACCAGGGGCTAGTGGAGGTGGGACACAGGAAGGCAAGAGAATTATCTCCCTACCTTTTTTCATTCCACTGGTTTTTAAACTAGTATTTTCCTACAATGTCACTTGCCAGCTTTTAAATCTCTGAACTCTACAAAATTAATCACTTTTTTAAAAGCTGTCTATGGCCTGGCCAAGGATCCTAAGTGGTTAGAGTGTCGGCCCACACAATGAAGGTTCCCAGGTTCGATTCCTGGTCAAGGGCAAGTACCTGGGTTGCAGGTTTGATCCTCAGTCTGTGCAGGAGGCAACCAATCGATGTGTCTCTCTCATGTCAAAGTTTCTCTCTCTCTCTCCCTCTCCGTCCCTCCCTCCCTTCCTCCTTTGCTCTTTCCCTCCCTCCCCAACTACCTGCCTTCCACTCTTTCTAAAAAGCAATGGAAAACATATCCTCAGGTGAGGATTAAAAATAAAAAATTAGCCGAAACCGGTTTGGCTCAATGGATAGAGCGTCGGCCTGCGGACTCAAGGGTCCTGGGTTCGATTTCGGTCAAGGGCATGTACCTTGGTTGCGGGCACATCCCAGTGGGGGGTGTGCAAGAGGCAGCTGATCGATGCTTCTCTCTCATCAATGTTGCTAACTCTCTATCCCTCTCTCTTCCTCTCTGTAAAAAAATCAATAAAATATATTTTTAAAATAAATAAATAAATAAATAAATAAATTTAAAATTGAATTTAAAAAAAAACACTTGTTAGAAGCTGTTCTCTTTGTGTCCAACTTTATGACCCATGAAATAAGAAGTGAAACCAAGAATAAGAAAGGCAATGAAATTTTATGATTCCTTTTTAATACCACTTCTTAATTCCACTTTCTACTACTTGCCAATTAACTGTGCTTTAGAATCAAGCAAATTTTGCAGCCAAAACTCCACTACATTAAATAGCTATTATGAACACAAACTGATGGAATTATTAAGGATTCTATCAATGTTTTTTATATCAGTTAATAGCTTTAGTAGTCTTAGGAACAATACCACATAGTTCAGCCCTGCCCTCAAATAGAGCATTCTATCAATAGCAAGTAAAATTCTCCGAGAATAGTGTTTGCCAAATTCAAAAGATGTTGTTAAATAAGCCCTCCCCTTTTTAATTTTTGAGGAATCACTTACATGGGTTTGGAAAGCACCTTTGCCAAGTTAAACTCTTTGAGGTATCTTATTATGGCCGCCAAAGAGCAAATCACAGGCTTCTCCAAGATCATGGCGCTGGAAAGGCTTTGAGAACCTAAAAGTAATATTATACATACCTTCGTTAGAATTATTATTCACCATTATTTAAAAAATGAAAGTTAAATAAAATTTAGTTTATAGTCATTGAAATAATAGAGACTATCTCCTTAAAACTGACCTCTGGAAAAATCCAGATGATTACCCAGGGCATGGGAAAGGCCATTGTCTAGTGGTGGAACAAGCCTTTTTGTAAAGCAATGGAGCAACTTGTTCAAAATGTAAAATGCTCATCTCCTTTGACTCAGTAATACTACAAAATGCACATCAAAGATGTGTAAACAGGCCGAAACTGGTTTGGCTCAGTGGATAGAGCATCGGCCTGTGGACTGAAAGGTTCCAGGTTCGATTCCGGTCAAAGGCATGTACCTTGGTTGCGGGCACATCCCCAATGGGGGTGTGCAAGAGGCAGCTGATCCATGATTCTCTCTCATTGATGCTTCTAACTCTCTATCCCTCTCTCTTCCTCTCTGTAAAAAATCAATAATATATATATATATATATATATATATATATATATATATATATATATTAATATGTAAACAAGGAAGTGAGTTGGAAAATCTTTTGTAAGAGTAAAAAACTAGAGAAAACCTAACCGAATGCCACTAGTGCAGCGTTTTTCAACCGCTGTTCCGCGGCACACGTTGCCTGGTGTGCCGTAGGTGCAGACAAGACAAGAATTTTATAATTTTTCACTATTTTGTTTACTTAATATTTCATAATAAAGTAATTATAAAATACTTTCTTTGTGTTTATTTGATTCCTATTCAAGAGAATTACTTTATATATAGTCAATATAGGCACAGAGTTAAATTTTTTAACATTTTCTAATGGTGGTGTGCCTCATGATTTTTTTCATGAAACAAGTGTGCCTTTGCCCAAAAAAGGTTGAAAAACACTGCACTAGTGTAACAGTTAAATAAATCGTAGTAAGTCTAGATTATTACTCACCTACTAATAGGAATGACTCATTGCTCTTCTGTACTAATACAAAAAACTAACCATAACATATTGCCAAATAAGAGGGAAAAGAGTTGAATGACCATTCTCATTTCTCAGCAAAAATATTTTCAACTTTCCAGCCACCCTCTCAGCTCCTCTCTGTGACCTATAGGATATTCTTAACAGAATACAGCCAAAAGAATCCTTTTTAAAATGTACCTCAAATTAGATTACTTTACTTAAAAGTTCTCAAACATCCATCCCCCAACTCACTGAGTGAAAACCTCAAGTCCTTAAGTCTGTAAGGTCCTACACACCTTGCCCTCCCATCTCCTCTTTAACGCTGAGCTCCCCTTAGTTCCAACACCCAGGCCCCCTGCCATCCCTTAAACATACCAGGCACTTAAGATATGCGACTCTGTACCTTCATATGTCCAATTGGCTTCGCCCTTAACTCCTCCAATCTTTGTTAACCATTTGTTCAAGGGCCATTTCCTTGGTAAAGTCTTCCTCACCACCCTGTGTAAAAGCTCACCCTCAGGGATGGAGAAGTATAGATAGGCCAAAATTGGTTTGCTCAGAGGATAGAGCATCGGCCTGCAGACTGAAAGGTCCCAGGTTCGATTCCGGTCAGGGGCATGTACCTTGGTTGCGGGCACAGCCCCAGTAGAGGGTGTGCAGGAAGCAGCTGATCGATGTTTCTCTCTCATCGATGTTTCTAGCTCTCTATCCCTCTCCCTTCCTCTCTGTAAAAAAATCAATAAAATATATATATATATTTTTTAAAAGAACTATAGATTGGCAGATGTATAAAAAAACAGTCACGGGGATGTAATATACAGCTTAAGAAATATAGTCAGTAAAACTGTAATAACTATATATAGTGTCTAACCCTTTTGCTATACATATTAAACTAATATACTATCAAATGTCATCTTAATTGAAAAAGTTTCACCCCCTTCCTGCCTTACTTTCTTCAGAGCACTTACTTTCTTCAAATGCACTAACTTATTTTATTGTAACATCTCCCCCCATTAGAATGTAAGCTCCAGAAGGGGGGAATTTTTATCTATTTCATTCCTTACTGAATGCACTATGCCTCACATAATAGGCATTCAATAGAAATCAGATGAAAGTGCAAGTTCAAGTTAATTAAACAAATATACACAATTATGTGTGTACTAGAGGCCCGCTGTGCGAATTTGTGCACGGGTGGTATTCCTTGGCCTGTCCAGTGATCAGGCTGATCAGGGCTGTCTCACACAGTCCAGATTGGGGCCAAATGGGACCAGTCGGCCAGCCAGCTAGGAATAGGGACTATGGGAGGTTGGCCAGCCAGCCAGGGAGAGAATGCAGGAAGTTGCTGGCTACAGGAGGTTGGCTGGGGGAGCCTGAGTTGAGCATCTGCCCCCTGGTAATCAGTACATGTCATAGTGACCAGTTGATCAGTCATCAGTCATTCAGTCGACCAGTGGTAACAGTCTCTTTGGCTTTTATATATATAGATGTTTATGTATATATATATATATATATATGAGGATTTATATATAAGAAGATTCATAAGGATTTGAGTGGGGACTTTTACTTTTTTCTTTAAACACAAATATATTTTGACTTTTTTAAATAGGCATTTATTACTTTTAGAAATAATATTAAAATATATCTTCGATAAATCAGTAATATACCTTATTAATTTCAACTTTGTATAAAAATAAGGTGTAAATAAAGAGTTAAAGCCCTTTCCCCTTCTTCTGAGAATTTCATCTTCTTGTAACTTTCTAGCTCTGTTTCCCAGGAAACCGGATAAAGATGAAATGCCAGTGTATTAGGAAGTAGCACTGCATATGGTGAAAATGACCTGAAATCAGTACACTGCACCTGGACTAGGAGGAATTATGAATACCTAATTCCAGAAAATTGGCCTTCCCTGAGAGTACACTGACTCTTTGAACTTGGTATGTCCTTTGTACAAATCCCAGCAATGGAATTGGGTTCCTGCAGGACATGGGGCGTCTGAGCCAGGCAGATCCTGCACCCACCTGTTAAAAGTCTCCTTTCCCTTCAGCTGAGCTGTCACTAGCAGCAAGGGGAAACACTGCTACAGAGACCGCTGAGGAATATCTCCACCAAGGGGAGAACATGTGCCTTGCCCACAAGCAGGTGTTCTGCCCTGTATCCTTCCAGGTAATGTGATGCCAAGATGGCTTATGGCAGTCTTGTGACTTAGTCTTGTCTTTAGTTGGGCATAAGATGATCTCTTGTGATATTGCAGACAGTTGTCATAAATGGGTTACACTCTCAGACATTCAATTCAATTTGGCCAGGTCACCATGAGATTAAAAGGGATGGGGAGAGAAATGCTCACAAGATATTGATACCTGGGTGGGAGCTGGGGGAGGCTGGTCAGTCTATGGGATAATGAAGAAAGCTGCGCAGCCTGTGATAAGAGATTAAAAAAAGGAACTAAGCTGCACTGACAGGAATGAGGGGTCCAGACCAAAGCAAGCACTGATATCTGGCTGAGGAAATGTGAATTAGAAAATAATGGTTACCTATCATATTCAGATCCTGTCATTAATATGAATTAGACAAATAATGGTTACCCAACATATTCAGACCCTGTCATTAACGTTCTGGTATTTAAATTCCAGTAGTCAAACTTTTGAAATGCTACCCTTCATCAAGAGGTTTATCCAAACATTCTATAAAACTGCAGGGAAAATAATGAGCCATCTTTTAAAAAGAACAAGAAGGAAAGTTGGTCAGTAAGTAACTCCTTACATGCCAATGAATATGTCAAAACCAGTAAATTACTAAATGGTCATAACTACAAAAGAAGAACTATAGTAGTGTTTTTCATCAGTGTAAGAACAATAAACTCTTCCCTCCACTTCTTCCAATTATGTATTGGTAACTACTTAGCCTTCATGACATTAAAAGTCAAGCTTGCACCTTTAGTCAAACCTCAACTCAGTTAAATTTGAGGACATATGGCTAACATGTATATAATCTTTACCTTTGATGTCAATCATATCTTCTACATAAAACTCTGTAAACACCTGGGAAGCATGGCTGTATTCAAAATACATGTTATCCATCCTTTCTACTCGAATTCTGTCATCCCGCACCCTGAAAGAAAAAAATGAAAATTTCAAAGATAATTTTCCATAATCTTGAACTGTGTGTATTTAGGCCTTGACCTGACTGAAAAAAAAATAAAGATGCATTCCTTATTCTCTCCCAAGTTAAAAAAAGAAAAAAAGAAAGAAAGATCTGAAGTTTCCTGGTTGAAAAGTTCCATTTCATAAAATGTAATTATTACTTTTACTACTGTTATGTCACCTAGCACACCATGAGTACTTTATATTTTTATCAAGAACTCACTGAAATTGCCAAAACCGGTTTGGCTCAGTGGATAGAGCGTCAGCCTGCTAACTGAAAGGTCCCAGGGTTCGATTCTGGTCAAGGGCATATACCTTGGTTGCGGGCACATCCCCAGTAGGGGGTCTGCAAGAGGCAGCTGATCGATGATTCTCTCTCATCGATGTTTCTAACTCTCTATCCTTCTTTCTTCCTCTCTGTAAAAAATCAATAAAATATATTTTATTAAAAAAAAAAAAGAACTCACTGAAATTAAGGTCAATTACTTTAATAAATACAAAAGGGAACCTTTTCTTCAATTCTATTTACTAAAGTGTTATCATTAGCATATATGAGCCTATCAATTTTATATGTAGCAACTATGCTGAACGCTTCAATAGCATGGATGGAACTGAAGAGCATTAAGATAAATGAAATAAGCCAGGCCGGGAAAGATAAATATCACATGATCTCGCCAAAACCGGTTTGGCTCAGTGGTAGAGCATCAGTCTGCGGACTGAAAGGTCTGGGTTCGATTCCGGTCAAGGGCATGTACCTTGGTTGCGGGCACATCACCGATAGGGGGTGTGCAAGAGGCAAGCAGCTGGTCAATGTTTCTCTCTCATCGACGTTTCTAGCTCTCTATCTCTCTCCCTTCCTCTCTGTAAAAAATCAATAAAATATATTTAAATATATATATATATATATATATATATATATATATATATATATATATATCTCACATGATCTCACTCATTTGTGGAATATAATGAACAACAATAAATGGATGAACATAAATAGATCCAGAGACAGAGAAACATTGATCAGACCATCAAAGCTCAGAGGGAAGGTAGGGGAGGGGAGGGGGAAGGGGGAGAGATTAACCAAAGGACTTGAATGCATGCATATAAGCCTAACCAATGGACACAGACTATAGGGCATGAGTCGGGGCATGGGAGTGGGGAGGTAATGGGGGAATAAAGGCACATATGTTACACCGTAATCAATAAAGAAATTAAAAAAAAAACTCACTGAAATTAAGGTCAATTACTTTTTTAAAAAATATATTTTATTGATTTTTTACAGAGAGGAAAGGAGAGGAATAGAGAGCTAGAAACATCAATGAGAGAGAAACATCGACCAACAGCCTCCAGCACACCCCCCACCGGGGATGTGCCCGCAACCAGTGTACATGCCCCTGACCAGAATCAAACCTGGGACCTTTCAGTCTGCAGACCAACGCTCTATCCACTGAGCCAAACCGGTTACATCAAGGTCAATTACTTTAATAAATACAAAAGGGAACCTCTTCTTCAATTCTATTTGCTAAAGTGTTATTATTAGCATATATGAGCCTATCAATTTTATATGTAGTAACTATCCTGAACACTAACTGGTTTTTTGTATTGTCTTTGTATGCATTAATATCAGATGAAAAAAAAAAACAAAAAACTGTCTCTCCTTTATAATATCTACTAAGGGCCCAATGCATGAATTCATGCACCTTGAAAGGAACTATGGGCCCATCCTCCATGCTCCCACCCAGTCCCTCCTGCTGCTCCCCTTTCTATCCTTCCCCCATCTGCTGGCAGCCCCGCTTCCTCCACCTCCACTCCCATGTGCTGACAGCACCAGCCCCACTCACACCTTGGGGCTGACACCAGCAGCAGGTGCAAGGGGGGCCGTCACTGGCAGAAGGTTCGAGAGATGGCTGCTGGTCCCGATCACCCCTCAGGAGCAGGGGGAAGTGGAAAAGTCCTAAGGGACAACTGGGGCCAGCAGCTGCCACTCGCATCCGCTGACAGTGCCGGGTGATCAGGGCTGGCGCCAAGCGCTGGCACCCAGTGCAAGCAGGGCCAATGCCAGCAGCAGGTGTGAGTGCAGGGCAGGACCATGGTGTGTGGGAGCAAAGAATTTTCAGTAACCACCAGAGGCTGGCCCCAATGAGAGTGACATAGCCCTGCCTTGATCTGGTGCCCCTGCTCACCTGCTCCACCATCCCATGACCGATGCTCGCCATGTTCCAAACTCTGCCACCTGCTGCCAATGCCCGCCATGTTCTGCACGTACCCCCCGGTGGTCATCATAGCGATGGGTGGTTTGGTTGTTCTGCCCTTCGGTATATTTGCATTTTGGGTTTATATATATTTAGATTAATTTCTTTTTCCTACCTCATTACACTATTGGCTAAGAAGTCCAGGGCTGTGTTGAACAAAAGTAATGCTAACAGGCATCCTTTGTTTTCTTAATGACATTAATGGGGAAGAGTTTCAACTCCTAGGTATAATGTTTGCTGTAGGTTTGGAGATAAATGATTTAGTCTAAGGTTTGGTAAAATTCCCAGTTAGAGTAAAAAATGAAATCTTAGTATAAAGGATTGTTGAATCTTACCTAATGTTCTATCTATATGTGTTAAAATGATCATGTGGTCTCTCTCACTTTCTTTCTTAACATATTACTCATATTTTCTGATGCTGAATGACTTTTGGTTCCCTGGGATATAATATCCTTGTCATTATGTTCCATGTTGCTCAAATAAAGTTATAAACTTGATTTCTTAGTGTTTTCATTTTTTCCCAGGAAACCTGTGCCAACATATCTGGCTCCAAAGGCTCTTCCTGTTCTATTACAAGACTAGACAGGCATAAGTGGGTTCAGGAAGAAACCTAAGAGGAAGATTTCCTCCCATATGTGGTGCTGAAGAAGAATTTTTCCACCTTTATCTGCTGGAGAGGGAGTGTCAGACTAACTATGGCAAGTCTCTTATCATTTTTGCTGTAGACTCCCTTAATATCTGGATTTTAACAGCAAAGTTATTATTTAGCGACTCAAAAAGCAAAGAGTGACCTTACATGAGCTCCAGAGTGTTTTTGTACAAGTTCTTAGAGTGAACACGAAGGCAGTGGGTAACTCAATTACTGTTCTAATTAACATTTTGTATGATAAGCAGATAAGGAGTTAGAAACCCATTAAATCTGATAAAAAAGGACTTGTCCATTATCTTTGAGGCTTTCATGGAAGTATTCCAAAAGTGATAAATTCATTGTTCTGTAATCTGTATATTAATCGTTCTCATGTAAAATTTTTTCCATAAACTGGTTGGAGTTAAAGATCTCTTATCTGGCCCGGCTGGTTATGGCTCAGTGGTTGAGTGTTGACCTATGATTCAGGAGGTCACAGTTTGATTCCTGGTAAGTATGCCCTAGTGGGGAGTGTGCAGGAGAGAACTGATTAATGATTCTCTCTAAACATTGATGTTCCTATCTCTCTCTCTTCCTTCTTCTCTTGAAATTAAAATTAAAAAGATATTTTTTCATTTCATATCTGTGTTTTCCTGTATTTCTTAAATTGAAGCAAGTTGAAACACTTATATACATAATGAGTAGCATGCAATTAGAATTTTATCAAACTAGATTTTAATAAGTTTCTACATTAAACATAGAACTGTCAGTCTTGATTTCCCCAAACTGTAGTCAGTCTGTGGAATACTGACATCTGAATCATGTGCAACAGCACAGATTCTACACTTCAAATGTGTTCCATCTGAACTCAGCAGGAAGCCAGGGGAAAGAGGGTTTTAATTTTTATCAGTCTACACGAACAATTCTGGCAGCCAACCTAGGACAGAATACGAAGTAGAAATGTAAATCTTCTCCAATGGTAGTCTATGTTTCAGCTGCTCTGTTAGAGAAGGCAATAAATATCTTTCACCAATTGGTTGGAGCACCATCCTGTACACCAAAGAGTTGCAGGTTCAATTCCCAGTCAGGGCACATACGAGAGGCCACCAATCGATGTTTCTCTCTCACATAGATTTTGTCTCTCTCTTCCCTCTTCCTCCGCCTCTATAAAATTATATCCTAGGGTGAGGATTAGAATAAAAAATTTTAATAAACTATGGTAATATAAATTGACCTGGGTCTAAAATATTACGAAAACACCTTCCGTTTTCCACCCTCTGCCAAGGCTGCCTGCTCCTCCCGGGGCCAAGGTGGCAACTCTCTGTCTGTGCTGGACAGGAGGACTAACATCAGGATACAAGTCTGTCATTACATGAGGTACACCAAGCTGGACTGTTTAAACAAAGATTTGTCATTTTTAAAAATTCTTTTCATATGTGGCATGCCTCTGTTGCCAAACATATTATTTTTGAAAAATTAAATGGTGATAAAACTCTCAACAAGTGTGGAGCCCACACTGAAAAGAGGGTTGAGGACATCAGACCCCATAATACCTTTCAATGTCAACCCGGTGACTCTGGTGTTGAATAATAGACCACCTACACAGGTTTTAAACTAACATTCAACTGTGACCAAATAAATGATAGCTAGCCAATTTTATGATCTATGCTGACTTTAGAAACTATGATTTTCATAGACAAAAAGAGCCTTGTTAAGGGCTGACAATCTACTCTAGGAAAACTCACAAGGCCTCTTCTGACAGCGTACTTACTGATAATAATAATACTGATTGAGTTCCAAGCTTCCTGGCTGAATGATGAATCGCTCCTTTGAAAGTACAATAGAGGTCGAGATTGAATAAAAGAAGCTATGTAACATAGTTACAGTATCTCTACTTCAGAATTAGTATGAAATTAATTTTAACACTGCTTATAGTAGGGAACTAGCATCACTTTCTTAGAAGACTAAGGGCTTTATGTGAAACTGTAATGATAAAGACAACCACTAGAACAAAAATATCAGAAAAATCCCATAGACCACATAATGAAACTTTTTTTTAAAAGGCACAAAAACTATATGGACGAGCTA